TCCAGTGAAATTCTAGACATTAGCTGTCAACAAAAACAAAAAGATCCCATTATTGAAAACTGTATAGAAGTAAAAAAAAGACACTTAATTAACATTATTAATTCTTTTGAACTTCTAAGGTTCCTAAGAAGAAATAAAACGGTAATACTCAGATGGTATTTCCACAACTGAAAAAACACCCAAAGTACATTCCCATAGCTGCATAAGTCTACTCTTATACAACAAGAAAATCAATTAAGTAGAAAGGAAAAAAGTCTCCAATATACTAATTTTTAATACATCCTTATCACCTATGTAACTTGTTTAGCTACAACTGCACAGAGGAAGATGGATATTGTTTACAAGTAGGCACTACTAAGACAATCAAGATATCTTTAAATAAGAAAAGCATAAATTACATTATTCAGAACTTCGTGAAATCCTAAACCACCCATCATCTTAGTTCCCATCCGAGCAGCCAGCTGGTACATCAGAGGCAAAAACTTGTATGAGGGAATCTTCTGTGCATTTTTCTGTAGTAGAGAAAATTCAGTTAGAGAGCTGTACTAAACACCAAATAAAAACTGTAATTATATTTTTTTTTTTAAACTAAGAGTAATCATGGCTGTGTGACCAAATGTTAGTTCAGTGAGTATCACATCATCTTGGCCCATGTCTCCTAAATGCCACAAGTCGTTCACAGGAAAAGTAATGTTTTCTATTCTACATTTCATAGTTTTTCAACTAAAAGTATATACAATTTAAACTAGAATAATGCACCTAAAGATGTTCAAGATGGGTAGTTTCCAAGATTTGTAAAGAGCAAGGTGACCACAGTAAAAGCTCATGAGATATGCTTAATCACATAGATTTTTCAAATTAAAATGCTAAACTTTCAAACTAAGTTAAATTAAAACACACTGAGAAATACAGGTCTCACTGATGAAAAACTAAATGATGAGCTATGACAACCGAAAAAAGCAAGTTTTGCAGGAAAAGCTAAGCAGCTACACAGGAAAGCATACTGCACAGCACTGTAATTCATCTTCTAGAAACCTAGAAGAAGGAACCGAAAGATGGATAATTTGTCAAAGCATTAGGAAAAAACAGAGCAGACATATACCTTCATCATTTCATTGACTCTGTCAACTCCAGGATTTTCAAGCCACAGAGAACAGAGTCGGAATATCCACATATCATGTTCTTCTCCACTTAGTAAACAGCTGATATAGTTCTCCACTGCTTTACACAGGAAACGTTTACGATCCTCAGTCAGGGCTTGTATGGCACATTCATCCAGTTCAAGTTCTCGCTGAACCTTCACTGTGTATCTGTGTGAACAGACATTATTTTTAAACGGCAAATTAACTCTTAATGAACTTACAGCAAAGACATCCCCAGTTCTCTTACTTACTAATTTAACATTTTTAAAGTTGCTTTGTATGTACAAGCACAGCAAAATAAACAACTGAGAAATCAAACTGTGGGAGCTACTCCTTTGGTGTATGCACAAAGACCCACTGCTCTAAGTAAATTTTCAGTCAGTGTCTTCTTTTAAATGATTTAATCTCAATATTGGTATAAATGTGAATATCCAGTACAGATCATTTGTGTAAAGACTTCGGTTTCCAACAGCTGAAAGTCATCCTTTTCTGCTCACTTGCAATTGTTCTTACTAAATCCATATGAATCCTGCATTGAAATGAATTCTACTCTTTCACTAAATGTGTAATGGAGAAAAATCTCAATTAATTTATTTTCACTCTGTAACTTTTTCTTCTTTGTCAAATAAATTGAACAGATCCAGGGAATAAACATGAATTCCAGGCCATGATCATCCACACTGTTTAACTGTTGTAACAGTCCTCGGCTTAGTTTTGGCCCACACTACCTAGCACATGCATAGACCATGTTCAGGCACAGTTCAGAAACTATTCACAGGAAGCACTATGGATTTGGCCACTGTTTTGTGGAGAAGGAAAAAATCAGCTGTAGAGATGTGACCCATACTGTACCTCTTGCCAAGAGAGTTGTGAGAGATGGAGCCTTTGACAGCTCCACGGTAACCACCTCTCCATTTGAATGCTCACCTATTGGTTTGAACTCTACACTCCCTGATGAGGCCGACCTCCTCCTTGGCCTTCTTCAGTAGTGCCTGCTTATTTTCAAACTCTGAGGATTTCATGTAATTCTCAATTCGCTGGTACTGATTATCAGAGAAACGAGCCAAAGACAGGAAGGCCTTCATCTTTCCTTTCTTCAGCTCATCACTGCTCTCTCCACTGTGGCTTGCAGCAATTTCCACAGCCTAAAGGGGACGTAACAGTAACAGTAAGATGGATAATCAGACAACCAGTGCTGCATAATACTTGATTAAACTCCATTATCAGAGAAAGTTGGGGGTTTTTTGGGGGTGGGGGGGAGAGGGGTTGAGGCTGGAAGGGACATTTGGAGGTCATCTCATTTAACCTCCCCTGCTCAAGCAGGGTCACCTGCTCAAATAGATTATTTAATGTTGCCTGTGACGGAATACATATGCATACAAAATGAAATCTAGCAGGCTGAGTATTTTTCTCATAAGTGAGTTTAACCTTTGAGAAGGGTTTCAGTGCAAACAGCCAAAAAGATTATCCTGTATGAAACAGCTTTAAAAACCATACAGGCGTTTTCTACACTTTTCTATCTTTTAGAGTAACTAGGCATGAAGTTTTACAATAGTCTTAAAGCCTTATATCACAAGATGGTGAGAAAAAAAAAAAGAAAGGCAGTCCAAAAAGTGCCACTTATATACGAAAGTCATGGATTCAAATCACAGTGATGAAAGCATGTAGACAGTAATAGGGAAAAGTGACTATGCTGAATTTCACAAATTACCATGAAATAAAGAAATGCAGAGTGGACAAATATTAATACAAATATTTCTGTAACTGGCTAAGAGTTAAAAAAAATAAATTGCAGTAGTTTGAAACACTAGAATAAGACTTTCCAGCACTTTCAGGGGTAACCTTATCACTCTCTACAACTACCTTAAAGGAGATTGTAGCCAGGTGGGGGTTGGTCTCTTCTCTCACGTAACAAGCAACAGGACAAGAGGACACAGTCTTAAACTGTGCCAGGGGAGGCTCAGGTTGGATGTTAGGAAGAATTTTCTTCACAGAAAGAGTGACTGGACATTGGAATGGGTTGCCCAGGGAGGTGGTGGAGTCACCATCCCAGGAAGTGTCAGGGAAAGACTGGATGTGGCAGCGAATGCCATGTTCTAGTTGACATGGTGGTGGTCAGTCATAGGTTGGACTCAATGATCTTGGAGGTCTTTTCCAACTGAAGTGATTCCCTAATTCTGTGAAATACAAGGGCCACACTAAAAACCTGATGAGTGAATTATCTATCTTGAGAAGGAAGGACTGGGAATGTGGAACAGGAAACTAGACTAGTGTAATCACTGCACTTCTAAGCCAATATTAGACGTTTCACTGCGAATTCTATAAAGCCCTATTCTGAACATTTTATAAGATTAAAGTGTTAATAAAATAAATGTGAAACTATAATGTTTTTATAAGGAACCATACGTACAATCCAGAAAAATAAACCCTGTACTGAAAAATTAGCTTGACATTCTAACATCGTATCTTAGCACAGCATTATCTCAAAGACAGCGTATTTCAAAGACCAGATGCACCTTTTCTAAGTATTTCTGCATGATGACTGTAGGGTTTTCCAAGCACGTTTCTGCTAACCAGGTTCCACACAGCCTCAGACACTCTGTATACATCAGTTTCAGGTGAGGATCATTCTCAACCTTTGAAAAAGCAAGTTTTGGGAACAAAATTAAAGAGAGGGAAGCATCAAAAAAATCACCTTTTATATACAAGGTAGGCAATTTCTAAAGTTTTAAACCCTGAATAGAATTCAATCACTGATACCTATTACATACAATGCATCTACAAAGTCATTTACCATCCACATCTACAGCAATCGATAACCTTAAATCATTCACATTCTATGTTAGACTAAAGGAGAGCATGTATTTTAAAATACCTGATAATCTGAACAATGGAAAGCAGGATAAACCAATGACAAAATGTAATAAAAAATACATAAATTCACAGCATGTTTCTGGAATTGCATTTTCTAGTATCCCCACTTAGTCTGATGTATCACAGTACAATCCATAGATAACATTCAGGAATCATGATAATTAAATTATTCAGACAGAACTCTACATGGAAACTTGTAGAAAAAGTGCTCCAAGGAGATGATGGAGCAGGTTTCCAAAGGACTTGACTCCGGATCAGATGCTCAGCTTTAACTGTAGAGCAGGACAAGTTTGCAAAATACTTCTAGTACAGTGTATGTATTAAAGACCACATGATCAAGGTGGCAACACTGACTGTGAAATACTGAAGGATACCAAAGGCTAGGAAAACACAAATCCTCCTTACATAGGGAGGGTAAATGTAACACCAAAAGGATTAAATTTTTGGAGGGTCTCATCAACTGATTCATGGAGAAATCACAAAAATCAAAAGACCATCACCTCTTGATTTTGTCCTGATATGTATGGAGAACTTGGCCCAAAATTATTCAGCTTTTCTGAAGTGTGATATTCCTTAATAATGTATGTGGATTCAAAGCAAATGTCTTTTACCCTTCAAAATTACTCAAAGAAAGCCACCGTAGCTAAACATAAATGTAAGGACACGAAGGCATTTTTACCACAGTGCTACACAAAATTAAGTTCTATCCAAATATTTGTCAACTATATTTTAACCAACATCATCCAGAGAGACCTGGACAGGCTGGATTAATTGGTCAAGACCAACTGTATGAGGTTCAACTAGGTCAAATGCCAGGCCCTGTCCTTGGGTCACAACAGCGCCATGCAGTGCTACAGGCTTGGGGAAGAGTGGCTGCAAAGCTGCCCGGAGGAAAAGGACCTGGGGGTGCTGGTCAACAGTGGCTGAACAGTGGCCAGCAGTGTGCCCAGGTATCCAAGAAGGCCAGTGGCATCCTGGCCTGTATCAGCAATAGTGTGGCCAGCAGGACCAGGCCAGTGATTGTCCCTCTGTACTCGGCACTGCTGAGGCCACACCTCAAATCCTGTGTTCATTTTTGGGCTCCTCACTGCAAGAAAAGATACTGAGGTGCCGGAGCGTGTCCACAGAAGGGCAACAGAGCTGGGTAAGGGACTGGAGGACAAGTTACAGGAGTAGCAGCTGAGGGAGCAGGAGTTTTTTAATCTGGAGGAAAGAAGGCTCAGGAGGGAGGGACCTTATCACTCTCTAACAATGACCTGAAAGTGGAATTAGGATCTTTAAATACTTTAATTCCCATAAGTTTATACATAACACATACCTGAAACCAATCTGCATCTAATTTTTTTATCATCGTTTTAAGTATATTCAGTGCAAGACTCTCTTCTTTTTTAGCCCAGAAAACCTGAGCTTCTTCTAGTTGCCATTCAGAAACGCCACATCCCTCTGGATTGTGTTGTTTGATCTGAAACATAGCTCTTTCTGGAAGCTGAAATTGAAAAAATAATCATAAACAGAAAACACATCTATAAATACAAACTACATAGCTTAAGTCTCCAACTAACTGAGCCATTGAATAAACTTAGAATACAGTTCATCTTTAATATTCTTAAAAATTAAGTTCTTTTCCTAACTAAAAAACTAAACATCTTTTCCTGATCCTTCCTGGAATTTGTTACCTGTGTATTTTTAGCAGTTCTTGCCAATCTAGAGAGCTCCACCAGATGTTTGGTCAGGATGTCTTTAATACATTCTCTTTTGGTATTGTCATTCTCCTTCTCAAGCAAGATTTCCAAAATTACAGTGCGCAGAGCCATGATGGGTTCCTGGAAATGGAAGTCACTGTCCTTGAGAAGTTGGGAGTGTCTCTGCCATTTCAAATAAATGTCATTCAGTTGTTGAGTAGTAACAGATCTGCAATTGTTACGAAAAGAAAAAAAAACAGTTACTAATTCTCATTCGACATTTGTGAAATGCAAGACGAGTTAAAAGTGTACTGAGAAATTTCACAAAGTACAGTTCCAAACCAAGAAATAGTCCATAACACCCTACCAATGTTTGCTATCTATGGAATAAACTGGCAGCCTTCCAGTTTTAATGAACACGAAGATCAACATTACTAAGGTGAACTGCTCCTCTGTAAAAATTGATTACAAAAAACCCTTGTGTTAAAGGTCCATCAGCAAAGGGAATCGCATTCAAACAGAGGGCTGCTTTAAAAATGACAGATCGAGACTCCTGTTTTATTATATAGGTTATATATGGATTAATACAAGAATAAATTCTAAACTGTCACACTACAGGTTGCCATTTCACGTATTATTCTCTTAGGCAATTCATTAACTGCAAAAAGCAATAAGGTTCTGGACAGGCTGAATGACTGCAGGTTGACTATTAGCTACCAAACTGATACAACTATGACAGAGAAAATTCAATGTTAATAGCACTACTAAGATAAATACCTTCCTGGTATTAGAGGTCCATCAAAAAAGTGATTTAAACTGAAACAACATCCAATAGAGCTATGGGCATCATGAAGGAAATGGAAAACATTTTTAGAAAAGAAACTACAAGAGGATGACTCAGTTACCTGAGTAAAACAAAATCTAGGAGATATGACTGCTACTTTGGAGTATACTAGGGAACTCAATAAAAATGAAAGAAAATAATTATTTAAAATACAGTATCGGCATAATATCAAATAATTCAAACTAGACTGTGAATAAATCCAATCTGGAAATTAGGAGAATCTAAAATTGTCTTCACATAGTAAAGCTAAAATCCCTTAAGATCAAATTTTGAAAATATCATGAATGAAATTTGATGAGGTCGTTACAATTCTCGTGCTATGCTTGATTACTAAAAATTCTCAAAGCTCAAAAAGTAATGTGAAATAATCTTAAAAAACTACCTGGAGAACAGCAGACCTGTGTTTTCCAACTCTCCAATCAGCTGTAGTCTACAAAGGGTTGGGTATAATGAATAAACAGATTCAAGACTGCCTTTGCACAGTTCTTTGACTTCATTCACCCTACGGATTTAGCAGAGAAACAATAAATTTATTTTTTTTCCACTATCCACAAGGAATTCCAAATTTCTATAACATAATTTCCACATAGTGAACAGAATTTAAACAGCCAAATTATTCAGTCTGGAGTTATTTTGTATTACCATTACAATGAAAACAAAAAAAAAATGAAATAAATGAAAACACAGTAAGCATATATAAACACCAAAGCCTATATGATAGCTCAGCCAAAGAAGAGCACCCAGCACTGAAATCCACTTAAGAGGAACACAAAGTAAAGGATGTATACAACAAGAGATGTATCTTCAATTAGCACACAAATTATATATGCACAGATGACAAACTGAAGTTAAAAACTTAGAAATAAAGTTGCAGTCTGGAAGTATTAATTTATTCTATACATGAGACTTTATTTAAGGCCATAAAACCCCATGATAGTCTTTCATATATAACCTGGGACTAGAAACGCACACATTGTCTCCCTCTCTCTCTCTAACAGCACGGTATTTGCATAGTTACCTGGCATCTTTAAGACTGTCATGAAAAGCAGAGAATTCCTTATCTCGTAAAGACTGAAGAGCATCATACAGTGATTCATGGTAACCTGGTCTTTCTGTTTCATCTCTAAGAAATAAAACAAAAGCAACATAAAATAAAAGGAAAAGTACATATCTCTACAAAGACATCAATTTTACCTCTATGACATATATTTTTAGTTGTACATTTTCTGCAGCTGGACTGCTACTTTGATTGATAAAAATAATGATGCAACCCTTTACATTTTAAATTAATTTCGCATTTTACAAATTCAAGCTGTTCTTTTAAAATAAAATAAAAACAGTAATTGTCAAAATATTTGGAATACAGAGAATATGTTCACAGTTGCATCAAAAATATGCCACACACTCAACTGCACATTAAAAGTTTAATCACAATATTTCTCTCAGTATTATTCTGAAAGATAGATATTATAGTATATATACAAGTTCAGTTAAGAATCAACAGTTTTGTACAGTTAACTTCAGAAATATTTTTAAAATGGAAAAAATAAATAAAATCAGAGGGTTTGAAAAATCCATAGTGTTCAATTTAATTTTCCCTTCTTTGCCATCTTGGCTTTTCTTTCTCCTGCCATCTCTCTCATCTTACATGTTCTTTTTCTGCTCCTGTATTAAAGCTGACTACTCTGCCTAGGAGGGTTATACAGACCCTAACCCAGGGATGAAGAGAGCACACCTATAAGAAGTTTGTTCTGATTGTGGCATAACAAATGCCCTTTAACAGGCTGTATGTGAAGTCCTCCAGATGAGTCTTATCAACGATCTCATGACAGTGCAGGAGAAGAGAATGAACACACCAAGAGTGTATTCCCCAGAACACCTCTCTGTATGTCTTAGGAGAAAAACCCTCCCTTCCTCTGATTACTAAAAGTTGATGTATGAGGGGACCCCACCATGTAACTTCTGCTTTGCCAAAATGTAGTGTGTCTCTTCTGTATTCTTCCTAAACCGTGCCATGATGCAGCTGTACTATGAAGGGACAGACACAGATCCTGGCTAGTCACAAGAAATAACTACTGCCATATAGCCAATGATACATTAAAGGAGGAGATTACTCATTCCATGAGGGAATAGCCATAAATCAATACTGGTGTTTGTCTATCCAGGTCTTGATAATCTCTTGGGGCTTATTAAGTAATATTTTCCCCCTTTCCTTACAAATTAAACATTACAAACTACCTAATCCTCATTTTTACTTAAGGTAAGTTAAGTCTAAAATTGAAAAATTCAGTTTACAATCATGAACAATCAAAAAAAATTACCCATGTTCAGTTTCCCAGGAAAATGGAAAGCGATGTGCATACAAACCAGACAAGTATAAGTGAAAAACACTGCTTTTACATTCAATTATTAAGATAAATTAGGTGACCTGCTTCACAGAAACTAGATTCTCACCTTGTCTTTTTTTGCTTGGATCTGACACCACTACCTTTTGCTTAATAAACTAGCAAAAGTTGGTTTACCTGACAAAAGAGATGTGGCCCCATTGCATATTCCTCCATGCTGCCTGGTAGCGCATTTCCTGCAGTTCCGTGCACCACTCAGTGTTTTCATGTTCCAGCCCTTTCAAATACATGGAGAGAGTGTGGCAAAGACCAAAATTCTGCAAAGCCTGGAATTAAGTAAATTTCTACAAGTTGATTTTCTTCCTTTATTAAACTGAAGTGTTTTTTGAGAACACTTTATCTTTGCAAACAAAGAAGCCTTTGCAGGTATGACAGAATCATAAGTATTTCTAAACTCAGCACTATATAAGATGAAAACTTTTCAATGAAACTACTAATCCCACTATTGATATCTGCACCCCCGGGAAAGCAGTTTCATTACTACCACCATGGCTGGCATTTTTTAAAATAGATTTCCACACTCTGCTTCAAATTAACTATGAGTTCACATTTCTCCATTCCATCATTCCCAATAGTAAGTCAAAGTGGATTTTACATAATGAACCGTTTTCCTGGATTTGAAAAGGTTTCCTGCAACACCTATCTGTTTGAAGACCATAATGTCTTTATAATTGCGACCAGTTAAACAGATTATGCATGCAGCCATTATGAAGGAGAAATGCAACAGAATTTTAGCAATGATACTAAATAATCCAGGGTAAGAAAATAAAAGAAAATGTTCACAGGAAAATGAAATGAGGAGAGAAACAGATATACCTGTACTACATTATTACAGAACTGGTGTAAACATTTTTAGGCTAAAAAAGCAACATACTTAATTCTATTTATTTATTGCACTGGAAATACCAGTTTCAGTCAGATAGTTGCCATAATGGAGAGGTTTAAAGAATAAGATAGGAAAAGTATCCAATTACATTACTTTTCATATCCTGTCACTTTAGGATCTTGACAAAATCTGTAAAAAATTAAATATACTTATTTTTAAGTATTTCACAAAATTCATCACCCATGACGTGGGTGAGTGACAAGAGAAATAGGAACCTTAACGTTTTCAGGACAAATACTGAGTTGTCATATATCACACAGCTTGGATTATGTATGACAGTGGGCTGGACTTGATGAACAAAAGGATTGCTTTCAGTCCTAAAACAATTTTGGACTTAATACGAATGACTCAGTAGGATGGATATCAATTCCTACATTTATTTCCTCTTCTAAAATAAGATTACCTCTATTATTCCTGCCTGGCGAGTAGATGGAGAGAGGCTTGTCTCAAGGTCATATGTTACAAGGGCTTTCTCCCATACTGCTTCATGCTCATATGTTCTTAGCCTGTTGTAAGTTAACAGGACATTTTCAATCGAAGTTCCTTACTAATAAATGAAAGCAATGACTTTAAAGAACATAAGAACATTAATAAATTATACCGTGCTAATGGCTGTAACATTCTTCCTCCACCACAGCCATAGAGACTGTCAGGTTCTCCAATGCTTCTGTATATGTCCATGAGAAGGTCCTAGAACATGCACCACAAAAATGAAGTTACCTTTTTTTGGAACCAGTTCAAGTTAGTTTTACATATATCATGTAAGTTTGTAAACACAAGTCCTTGCATGCAATATTATAATTGTTAAATTTTCCTTTATGCAGTATCTGAGCCTGCTATATCACAGGAAAAAAAGTTATGCAGTCTAGCAAAACTCTCTTCAGGACTACCTACCCACTCTGCTAATTTATTAAACAAAAAACCAGACCTGGGCCTTAGGCAAACTGATTGCAAAACAAGAAGTACTGAAGGAGCATCAGACATACCAGCTAAACAATGAATCTTAAAAGTTACACAAGCACTATTCTAGAATAATGAACAACACAAAGAAGAAGCTTGACAAGGCTACTGGATCAGATTTGATATATCAAATAAACTTGTAGGAGATAATACTACTTTGGTTTTGATTAGTACAGCTTCCCATACCACCTGTTCATTTTTAATGAACACATATCTCTGATAAAACAAACTTAAAAATACTTGGCTGGTTATCAACACGAGGTCAGTTCTTTCAGGGAACAAAAGTCTGCTTGCTGTGATGTAAAATTTGCCATTAATTAGTGTGTCAGGTGAACGAATATTCAATTTAACTTGTCTAGAAGGCGACTAAGTTCACTTCAATTCAAAGCATGAGTAAAACTTTCAAACACAGTTCTTGAATTCAACTAGACCTGCCTTCAACTTAGATGAAACCTACTGTTAATAGTAATTAGATGAGGTTTGCTTTCAGATTATGAAGCGCACATGTACCTGTAAACTTAAGCCAGTTTCTTCTTTACTTTTTTCATTCAAAGTACTAATAGTTGTTTTTTGACTTTCTTCTTCAAATGTCAAACTCTTGGCTGCTTTAAAAGAAGATCTAAAAGAAAAGTTTCAACCAGTAAAGTTAAATGAAATTTCATACAAAGAACTAAAGAAATTCTGAAACAACAATTAAAAAGTAAGAGGCACAAACAACAAATGCAACACCATGCCTGTCATACCCCTAAATTATTCAAAATAGCTCTCCACTAGAATAATGATCAGCTGAACTGAGAATATCAACATCAAGGGATTTTAACACCAAGGTGTTTTTTCAAAGATAAAAAAATACACCCTGTAATTTCCAATGTTTTATTAGATCAAGTTGCTTTTGTGAATGGCCAAAGTATTCTTTCTTCTGTGAAAGAATAAAAGCAGTTAGTTAATGTATACGCTTACAACCTTACTCCTGTTATTTTTTCACTACCTTAGAGTTATTTGCCAGAAAAACAAAGCTTCTAAACTAGTTTCATATTTTGATCTTGCTAGACCAGAAGACAAAGAAGAAAACTCCTTCTCTACAAGGATCATTCAGCTCAATCCACACAATTCTGGTTATCATTCTGGGGTTTCTTTCTCTCCTTGATTAACTTCTGGCTGTAATTTAAACAACAGCACTAAGAAAAGCTTCTGATTACAAGTCAGTGTGGTTTGGATCACATTCAAGGATTGGTAGAAATATTTTCCATGTCCATACATGCACCTATGGAATATTTTTAAAGCTTCCTTGACTTTTCACATATCAAAACACCACTGGGACACACAAAACATGACCTATTTTACCAGAAACGTCAATAAACTGCACTCCTCAAGCCACGTACCTTTCTTGCTGTTTGTCTCTATTTATCTTGTCTGCGTAGATTTCTGCGTAGAGCAAGGCTGTGAAGTGAGCAGCACAAGACTGTGCTGCTATAGCAACCTCAAGATAATTCAGATCCAGCCAGAAGCTGTCATCAAAAACTGTACCTGAAGCAGATCTGATTAAATAAAGACTTTAATACTGCTGTAACAGACCTTCTCTCTAATATTAAACAAAATAAATCCAATCTAACTATAAAGCTTTCCAAAGGCTAATTTTATTTTAGCACCCCCCTCAAAACCCAAACTACAAGAAGTTTATCAGACAAAAAGTTTTTAGAAAACTCCTTCAGCATAGTTAGAATCCTTTAAGGCTAGCCATATCACTTCTGTAAAAAAGGCAAGGTCACTACTATATCTTCATTCTTTTAACTGACATGTTCCCTATCATGTTCTTCTTTAATCTAGAGCATCAACAGATCTTAGAACAGTCATAATTAAATTAAAGCAACATTTTGGAAAGTGGTAATTCACCTCTTTTGTCTTCTTAAGTAATCAACAACAGCAAGCATGGTTCGTCGAGATACTTTATCCAAACTTCTAAAATTATGGGTTTCTTGCTCTGGGATGTATATTTCAAAGGAAAGAATATAATGAACTTTTGTAATAACATATGCTTTTTACAAAATAAAAATGTCTAATTTGTACTCAAGAAATAACTAAAAACTTCCTTGGATGGCATTTCCAAAATTAAACTAACTGTTCGTCACAAAATATATTTCTCCTCCTTACATGATGTTAGAGATATTACAGTAGTTTATACCACAATTTTATCAAATTATCTTTGTATTAATAATTTATGTATTATATTTCTTCTTAAAGAATTCAGAGATGAACTAACATGACTGCACATATCTCCACAACAGACCTCTTCTCTTAGGCTTGAGCCATATTATTACAAAGTCACAGAAATACTTGTTAGTGGCTTTATTGCAGATTTCATAGTGTGGATGCTTACACAAAAAACACTATTTCCCACAGAGACACATTTAAAGAGTTTATATTTCCATGTCTTGCTTCTGGATTAAAAAAAATAAAATAAAATCAGATGGCTAAAGGTTGTGTTCCATTCACTTGTTTAATAATTTCCCCATTTTTCTGTTAATTTTTGATTTATCAATTACAAGAAGGAAGAAAGAGGGAAAGCATAACCAAAGGTTGGATTACTACTACGTTACAGTAAGATGCAAAACTAGCAACTTCCCCTAAAGAACGCAAAAGCCATAGTTTAAAGAAGTAGTATCTGGGCATTTTGCGTGTTTCAACAAAGAGAAATGAATGACACTTAGTGCTACCAAAGACCTTAGAGAAGGAACACCAACTCTCACATACAGTGGGGACACTTGACTCTCAGTTCCTAATGCACCATGACATTTGCTCTCCATCCCCACGAGCTGCTCTACTTGGCAGTGGAGACAGCATCTCACAGGCAGGGTCCGTTCTGTTGGACCATACAATCAACGCCCCAAAGAGATTGCTATTTCCTCTTTTATAATTCCATCAGACGAACAATTGAAAATTTCTGAATGCGGTGACTGGCATGACGTTCACACTATTTATGCTTTAAACTGCCAATTTCTAGAACTTGAATGTCAAAATGGATTAACAGGAAGACTCCTGTTCAGACGCGCTCTACTCTCTAGTGTCTAACTGTCTGCTCTTTCCTAGTTTGGATCCTGAGGGATTGGAATTAATTTACATTTTCTTCAATCACAATCTAATTGGAAAGAACGCCAACAGTTTGATTAGAAGGTGCTTTCCTTTTAAAGGAACTTACTGCATTACTTATACTCTGCTGCAGTACTTTCGGTTACAACTTCCTTTCATTCTGCTGGAATGGAACAGGTCTTTTGAATCTAAAGGGAGACCATTATCAGTATTTGGCAGAAGCTAAAGCAAGGGTTAGTCTTCTCCAATGAAAAAATCCAGATTAAAACTGCTTTTTATTGCTCTTGTTTGAGCAAGTGAGGAATTTAACTGCCGGTTAGTCATTTTAAGAGACAGTCCATGACTCAAGTCTTGCAACACATAAAATTGCATAACATCCAAATTCAGCAAGTAATAAATATCATCCAGTTGTGAACATGGAAAAAATGTAATAGCGAAGAAGCCGCTTGGATGCTGCCAATGAACAGCTTTCAAAATTAACACTATCTAGACTGAAAAAGATCAAACAATTGGGCAGAAGCTTCTAAAATTCAGTCTGCCTGCAAGCGCACATCATACATTTGATTTCAGGAGACAGTTTTTTCACAACCAGAATCCCACTTTTAGCTGAAACAAAAATATTATGGCATTACCTGAATCCGAATTTGGAGTAGATCTACTAGACGAGGCATATTTGCAACAGGCTGTAAAAAACTTCTGGATATGAAGTGACAGAAGATTTCTCCAAGATTCATCTGAGTCATGAAGAACTATATCGTGAATCAAGTATGGAAGCAAAGTTTGACACAAGTCTGTTTTCACCTAGAAAACAACCATGCACAGCAGCTGCTAAGAAAGATAATGAGAAAATCTTTCTTTCTCCAGGTTACAACCAAACTGACAGCTATTTAAACAAATATGTAATGTTTGAGAAAGAACATATAATATGAATAACGTAAACCACTCAATGGGGCTATGCTGGCATTCAGCTAACGTAGCCACATAAAGTTCATCTACGTTACAATCATGTCTAAAAACTTGCATTTTAAGAGTATATTTTATGGGCATCTGCAATATATGATTAAAAAGGTTCTGAATTATTTAACAGCAGAAATTACTATTTGTTATCAAGATGAGTAATATCACATTTTTAATGCATCACAGCACACATATGTATGATTTAGCTCACCTCACACAGTGGCTTCATTAACTGTAAAACTTCATTTTTCACACCTCCACTGTCCAATATTGAACTAGTTAGGTGCTTGATCCAGGTCTCATGACTTTCTCCCAGAGGAATCCACAGGTTTGTGTCATCCAAAGTTTCTAAACGAGCCTCTGTATCATCAGCAGATACTACAAGAAACTAGAACAAAAATTTACATATTACAAATATAAAAAAAATTCTAAGGCATTTAAAAAAGCTATACTGCAATCTTCACAGATTAAAACATATTAAATACTACTGATGTTTCAAGTGGCTAACAATATCAATTTTGTCCATGTAAAGTTTTCCAAGAAAACCTGAAAGTACTAAAAATAAAAATTTACTGATAACAACAACAAGGTCACAACAGGCATCACGTTTAGGTCACAAATCAAAAGTGTCAAAATGAGGAGATATCTGATTTATGGTTAATTATGCACTTTTTTCCTGACTTATTTTCCACCAATTTTTTGCATCAAATGACACTGGAATCCTGAGAAAGAGTGTATTACGTTCATCAAAGCCTATCTCAAAAATATTTTAAAACACACTTTTTAAAAAAAGATCTATTTTTTTTTCTCTACCCCATATGCCACATACATAAGGTATATCAGAAGAAGTACCTTTTTTCTAGATGTTCTGAAAGGCTGTAGATAGACTAACAGCGGATCAGCTTTATTTTTATAAACTTCCCAAAATTCACTGCCAGACTCTGTGGCTAATATGTTTTTCAAACAGGAAACAGCAGCAGCTCTAACATCAATACTTAAAAAAATAACATACACAACATCGTTATTATTGATTTCATTCAGACATTTGATTTTCACAATCACCTTTATAAATATACAAGGTAAATAACTCCACAATCTATGTGTGCATCAAATCAGAAAATTTTGGAGCAGGATGTGCCATTCCACATTTTATTATAAAACAAAGCGTGATTAATTCCTCCACAGCACTGCTATCCTCTACAGCACAGAGGAGACTCTCTGGCTTGAGTCCAACCAGGGAGTTTCTAGGAAACATGCTAAGTTGGACTGAGTAAGTAATGCGAGCCTTGAATTAGCAAATGGTTGGACATTAACAGGTGTTAGTAACACTTTCAGAGAGTTACTCTGAGCTGATTTGAACAACATACAACTTAAAGGCTCCTATTAAGCTTTGAGCTAACTAAATAAAACAAGTATACTCACCAATTATCTGTTAACGCAGTATTTATTTGCATTAACATTATGAAGACCCACTGACGTTTTCTATCTTCAAATAAGTCTGCTGCTCTAGAATCCAATGCATTTTCAGCACGCTGAAGAGCTATGGCGGAGAAATCCATGGGACCTATTTCTCCCAAGCAACTTCCAACAGCCTCTGCAAATGCAAGTAATTTTACAGTCTTTCTTTAGTCTTATGAACCCTAAAACAAGGTCTCAGCCTACTTTTAGAACTGAGATTGTTATGGGGTAAAAAGCTGCAAACATTTATGAATAATCACTTAAGGAGCTTTATGATTAAAATTACATGTAAGAAAATTTTGCAGCTTAAGACTCACAGATAATAAAGTTATGCTTTTTAACTCAATTTTCTAGGAGTGCCTATGGCTCTGGATGTCCCAGTTTATATCAGATAAGGATTTTATTTTTGCTTCTGTCAGAAACAGGCAAGTGCAAAAGGTCAGAATCTCTCATGTTCATTCCCTAAGGGTATGGTAAATACAAACAGTAGCCTGTGTAAGCACAAACCGTAGACTGTAAACTCAGTAAGAATTAACCTAGATTTTACATAAAATGATGTATCTATGTGCCCCTCATTTGTTTTCCAGACAAAATACAGAAAAGCATAAAACAAAACAAAACTGACCTTGAAAATAATTTTTCAGAAGGGATGTTAATGTTCATCAGAAAGAAAACAAAATCTAATTCTGTGTGCTCTTTTTTCATACTCTGCATGTGCATGGAAAACATTTCTATCTTCTACATTGTTTTAATCACCAGAGTAAATAAAGAACACAATGAAGATACACAGGTTGGGCTTTGAACTAAATTTAACAAATCATCTAAGGAAACACAATGCAGAGAAGGTTGAAACCTGCAGCTTGCAGAGGTGCTAAAGAATCTGTTATACTGAAGTCAACATGAGTTTCAGTTCCTCAGCATTTGTAATTATCAGTCACTAGTTTTTTAGAGAGAAAATGTATCAAGTGTACATATGAAGGTGTTTCTATCTAGTTTAGACATCTAATTTCAGTAATCACCAGCTCTGTGGAGGTAGTCTCCACTTGGGGCAAGAGGGGATTTGGATTTTAGTTTTGGATTGAACATTACCCAGGTGCTCAGCGTAAACGGTGAGAATAATTTTAATTATACAGAAGAGGCTTTAAGATGGAGAACAACTATTTTAATTTCCACTATGACACACCTACAAAATTTTCAGATAATTTCTTTTTAATTTTTTGGATTATTTTTCAACCTAATAAAGTGACCCATAGAAGCAGATGACTATTGCACATAGAACAGACTAGAGTCTAAACTGATTGCAATTTAAAATACAGTGACAAAATAGAAGACATATCAGCCATTTTAACAATCCTGATGGCTACCTCTGGCAAGTAATGCAAAATAGCAGTGGGAAATAACATTGAGAATAGCCACAGTTTCAGCCTGGTTTTTGTAATGACAGCCCTAATTAGCCTGTGGGAGTAATGAACTTACCCAGCACTGCTTTTTCTCCTGTATGGTTAACTGCCATCTTGGACAGCTGCAGTAAGCTCACTACCAATTTCACTACTACAGAATCTTCTGGTTTTTCTATCATTGAGAAAGAAAAAATAAATGCCAAAAATGCCAGTGTATTTGTAATGTGAGCATATTAGAAAGAAAGCACTGCTTCAGTGTTTTTTATCTACCAATGCCAACATGCATTTTTAATGTTGAAGCAAGTTGGTATTAAACAGTACATCAAAAAAATTACTGAGTTATCTTATTCAGCGCAACTTGAAAATATTTCTATGCGTGACTATGCCAAAGAATCCCCCAAACCAAAATATACAAATGCTACTGTTTTCAGCATTTTGATGCAGAAATTATGATTAATTACGTGAAATATTAGCATAAGTTGGTCTAAAAATGTTATTTGAAACACTGAAATCATACTGTGTGACTCCACTGACAGCCCTTAAACTAATATCATTCTGTTCTAAATATGAATCCAAGGAATATCTCAAAAATAGATTTTCTGTCAGGAACTTCTCAGAATTTGACTAGCTTTCAGTTGCCTAATTAACCTTGCCAAAATACAAACTCTCATGATGGGCATTTCCTTACACATTTGCTGCTGGCCTGAGATTTTTATTTTAAATAAACATTCCAAACAAAATGTTCTAAGAAAAAAATATGATGATCTGCCAATGTAAATAAAAAAATAACCCAGCAGTATTCTCTTAAAAATCCCACTGCCCTGTTGACTGGAATGGAAGCCTGGGGTAGGGCTATATGCTTGCTGACACCTTTATAAAAATGAATACATGCTTGACCAAACTGCAGCAGTTATTTCTTAAATGTCAGCTTTCAGCATATAGCTGTATAGCCTTCATCAATAACGGGTTTACTTCTTTTCAGAAAATAAGAACAACTATTATTATTATTATTGTTGTTGCATTATTGTTATTGTTGTTCTTCTTGTTGTTATTATCATTTATTGTTTAATAGACTTCTAGTATAAGGCAAAGTCAAAGCAATGGGTCCATCAAGCCTGCCAGTCTGCCTCCAGCAAAGCAAGAGAAAGCACTTCTCAGCTTTTGCCTGAGCAGATCTTTGTATCTAATAAACTCTAAAAGATATATCTAATTCTTTTTAAGGTCTGTTATGTTTCTAATCTCCACAGCAAGTAGCAGTAGGTTCCACGCTGTATATATTTTGAAAAAATGACACGATTTCTCTCATGTAACTGCTGCGAGATAATTTAATCTGTTGTCACACTGTGATAGAAGTTATAGGTACTCCCTACTCAGCTTCATCACACCATTCCCCAGTTCATATACCTCTCTCCATTCCTTCCTATTCAATCTTTTTCCAGTCTCACAAGGCTCTCCTCCAATGGAAGTTGCTCCACACAAGCTTGTTGCCCTTTCACTAACGCTTTTCAAGCAGAATTTGGAAACTAAAATTGTAAACGATATTCAAGATGTGGGGACAATATGCACTTGCACTATGGCCTTAGAACAGACTACTGCTCTTCCTCAAATTTTACTCTGCACTTATTTACAATTAATTACATCAGTTCTTTTTATCTTCCCCTCACGCATACAAGCTGACAAAGACTTGATGCGGAGGACAAAAGTAAAATGGTATGCCACAAGCATCTGAAAACCAAAATAGGAAGGAACTGGGTCTGGGTTGAGGGCTGAAACAGCATCCTGGGATGTGGCAAGGTTCAACCAAACTAAATTCTACCATTTTAAAACTTCTGAGAGCTTTATTTTCTAACACACTGTGACTTTAACAAAATGTAGCTTCATTACATTTAAAAGAGCAGGGAGATTCGTAAAACAAGAAAACTCATTAAGCAGCCATAAAACAATATGCTCATACGTTATGCTGGGCATTCACAGTCATACGTGCCCCGTGCCAAAAGCTGGAAGGCTATTTTATCGTCTCTGCCAGTAACACCTCATGTAATATTTATAAGACACTGTGCTACAGATACTTCAGATTTCACATGGATAATAAATGTCATTCTACTTTGCATGTAGGGAGCCCCCGGTGGTCTAGGGGAAAAGACACTGCACTGTCACTGCAGAGACCCGGGTTCAATTCCCGGTCGGGGCCCCTCCCCGGGCAGATGGAGCTCGTTAGCCCATAAGGCAATCCATCTACATCCTGAGGACCTCACTGCCACCGTCCAAGCATGCTTGGCCCCGGCAGATGAACCTCAGGTTAAAGGGTGGGCTCAGTTCCGCGCACACTGTGTCTCACCTAAAAAATCCAATGCGCAGGCTGGAAGGTGGAAAGACCTTCCCCGGTTCTTCGTTCGCGAAGACTGGCCATTACTTTACTTATTACTTACTTTGCATGTGAAACTATAATAAGGTTACATTGTTAAACATACAAAAACCTTGACACAAAATAAACCCTTGCTAAACACCTAAAACCAGATACAAAAGAAACAAAACACATATATCAGTACCCTGGAAATTTTTCAGGAGATCCTTCATCTGATCTTTGTATTGTTCCAGTTGTTTGCGTAAATCATACAGTCCTTCAAGCCGTGTTAAGGGCAGTGAATCACAAACACCAACTGAGAGAAAGTGATTAATTTCCTGCAAAACAACGTTTTGTACTAAGCACATATAACACACAAATATAAAAGTTTCAGGTAAAGAAGTGGTTCTCAGCAGTCCACAATGTGGATATTAACATGCAAAGTATGAACAGAAACCTACAAATACCTCAGTCTCTGAAAACTGGCAATAAAAAGAATCCATGTCTAATTCAAATATTTCTCAACTGTAGCCAGGAAATACTTTTTCTTTTGAAAGTTTGCACTACCAAAAACACTATGCCATGAGATATATTTTAAAATGTAATTACCTCCAAAAGAGAATATGGTCCTTTACTGTATTTTATTTTCTGCTGAGTTGCTCGCAAATCTTTAAAAGCTGGATGTTCAGGAAAAGGATCTAAGCATTTGATTGCGTGATAAAGATTTTCATTATCCTTATTATCTATCACCAGATACTTCAACAAGCCTAGGACCTGTATATAGAAAGTAAATAAACCCCCAAAATTACAGAGAAATGTTAAGAAACGATAAGCCATATTTCCTATTCAGGCTATAATGTAACTCTCCAAGTTCAACTAAACTGCTGAGATAATTTATTTGCACTGATAAAAGTTGTAAGATGTTTAGAGGCTTGGGGAAATGACAGACATATTTTAAAATGATGAGGCATTTTTGCTACTTTCCCTTTCAAACAAAAATCAAAGTTTTTACTATCACAGCCTGCAGTTGTATCCTGTTTCTTGATGAAGTTGATTTCAATTACTGGTCAATACAATCACTAAGATATTGGCAATGATTTAGCAAAACACTGCACCCAAACTGCTCTTCTGATGTTACCAGGACTTTATTATTCTCACTGAAGTGCTGGTAATTTGAAATTCAGACAAATATCATAACTTACAGCCCAAATCACTGAACTCTCGCGGAATTTGTTTTATAACAGATTCACAACTTGAATAAATGCTTGACAAATAAATGCTTGAACAAATGTGAAAACACTGCTTTTATGGTTAAAAATCAATGCAACTGAATTATGACATTTTTATTTGAAGACCTGCGTTTGCCTGAAAATTATTAATTAGCCTCCATTTAACACCAGAATCAAAAACAAAAAGAAGAAACTGAAAAGTAATCAGTAGAGGGTGGGCTTCCCTGCAGGAGTATGATATGAGAGGGTTTCATATTTGATATCAGTTCCAATTCAGAGAAATTTCTGTCCTTCCCACTTCGTTTCTGTCTAGGGGTGCCCTGACAAGTTGCCTTTGCAGTTGTGCACGGACAACTGTTTGCAAAGACATATTGTAAATCTGACCACAATCATTAGGCTGGGAAAAAAAATTGTCAGGTAGTTTCAGCAGGATCAGCAGAGCCCTCCAGCTGAACTGGAAGTACAAGGAGGAGGATAATGCAGAGTTACACTGCAACCACCAAAGTGCATATGGTACTCTGGGATCAGATTAACCCAGAAGGCAACATGAGGACTGGAGTGCAACAGGCATACTCTGGAAAATAACGCTTGTCACACAACAGAAACTGCTTTGTTTCCCTTTAAGGCCTACGTGCAGCATCCATTTTTTAAGCTTATTTGTTAAATAAATAGTTGAACTATTGAATTCTGTTCTCTGCATACTTTTCCTCTTTATCCTCTAGACACCTTCTCATACCAAAAGTCTTCATTCGTATTTCCAGTGAAATTGTCTACAGAGCTTTATAAGTAACTGCTGAGCTACTCAAAATGTGCTATTTGGCAGAACAGAAGTATCAACAGTGAAGATGTTTTTATTTAAAAAATTAAAGGCATACGATCACATCCCAAATAATAATATTTAGCTGAATCTCCAAAGCATAGAAAAAAGAAATTAGAAGCGAACATGAGTATAGATACAGCTTTAACAACTGTGAACATGAAATAAGAAGCTAAGAGATAAGCAATAAGCAGCAATGCGAAACTACCTGGTCCTGAATCTCAGACTGGTTCATGGCAAGAGGTATTAGGGTTCCTACAATAACATGAAGGTGTGTTTCTAGAGCATCACTGCTGCACGTAACCGCTGTGTGGCAAACGTGATGAAGGAGATCACAACAGAGTGAAAAGCTGCGCATGGATATGTCTCTCATAACAACAGGTCTGTCACAAAGGAAACAAAGTGAGATATAAATGGTCACTGTCTCAAGTATCAGCCTATTACACAACAGGGAAGAATAAGGGAAAAGAAGAAGATAAAATAAGGAGGAACCGATTATCAAGTTTAAAATTTATCAATCAGCTCTATGGACTTAGCTCAGGAGACACAGAAAAACTAAACACAGTGAGTTTTACTGATCACTCCAAAAAATGAAACAAAATCTTGCAGAAAAATATATACCAAAGTGGGAAAAAATCCAAAAACAAGCAAAAAAGGCTTTTAGACTATTATTTGCCAGAACAATATTGACAGAAACAGAACAAAGCGGAAACCATGCTCTCTGAATCCTCCTCTATCTAAAAAAACCATTAGTTTAAAAAAGAATTACATATTAGGTTACAAAGGACACCTGGGGATTATCTAGTCCAGCTTCCTGCCTGAAGCAGGGTCAATTTCAAATTCACATAAGGTTCTCAGGGTTTTGCTGAACTGAATTCTGACACATTCCTTGGATGGAGAACCAATAGCTTCCCTGAGCAACCTGCTTCAGTATTTAACCATTCTCACTGGAAAAATCCTTTCCCTTACATCCAACCAGAATTTCTCACATTGCAACTTGCTGAGTGCTACCCCTTGTCCTTTCACTGTACACTTCTAGGAAAAAATCTGACTCTACCTTTGCTGTATGACGTCTTCCCCTCCAGAAACTGGAGAAAAGAAGTTATATCAACTTTACCTACCCCCTTCAGGGTCTTCCACTCAATCCATCCCAGTTTGTCATTATCTCTCAGGTCCTGGCTGGCTGGGTGACACAGTGGTATTCCATCCCAGGGGAGAGACTTAAGGGTTGCTTTAGTTCAGTTTCGTAATGTACTTGTTGTCCCACTCTTACAGCTAGATGAGGTCCCTCTGAAAGGCAGCCTTGCCCTCCAGTGCATGGACTGTCTCTGCCCCAGTCCAGTCTTGATTGCAACAGTAAGTCCCGTAATAATGGCATGTACCATAAAATCTACATGTCTTCAACATCTCAGGCTATGAAATGCCTCGAACAAGCAAAGCAATCAACTTGAACATCAACTCAAAGACATTTAGGTGAATAACTGTCTGGGAAATCTAAAGATAAACCTGAAGTAAGAAACGGATCTCCATTCCAATCTTAAGCCTCAAGAAGGATCAGTTTTCTCAATCTCAAGACAAACTAGAATAACATGTACCAATTCTCACTCATTTTGCAAGGTACCCACTGGTGAAAATGTAAATGTCAATACTCTTTATTAACTCGATAAGCACATTTTATTTGACCTGTGCTTATTTTGCACTTAACCACATTTTGAGTTTGTCTCCCACATCCTTTAAATTTCTAAACACCCTTTCTGTCATCAAAGTCTCCCAACACTGTTTATTTCTACAACTTGATAGCCTATTACATGCTGCTGCAGTATAGTGACCATCTAAATACAAGGACAGCACAAAACATTTCATACTTTAGTAAGAGTTCTATATTTAAATTCTGAAATTATAAAAAAACGGCAATTTAATTTTATTCCTCAGCAGATTGTAATTAATTCTACAAGTGAATTTACATCTGCTGGTGATTCTGAAATGCACGGTTGCAAGAACAAGGAAGTACAGACAGGAAGAACAAGAGATAATTACTGTATTTACCTGCTATTGATGTGGTGAATCAGGGTGTAAATTACATCTCGGAGTACAAAAGCCCAGGCTCCGCCTAAACCATCTTTTATTTCTTTAAGTAAGAGACTAACAAACAAGTGATAAATTAGAAGAACTCTCTGTTTCTTATAAATGTTGTTTGTATCTGATGCATGCTTACAAAGGGCTAGAAGGATTTTCTGGAATGAATCCTAAAAATGAATAAATTAAGAGTAAAAAATTAATTCATAATGTCAGTACAGATATACCTTATATAAAGAAGAAACTTAAGCAGGATATATATATTTTGTAAGCGGACATGGGTAAAGAAGCTTAATTATTTTTATTGCTTTAAACAAACAAAAGACCTACACAGAAACCAATTCTCCAAGCAGGACGATAAGCCACACACCTCCTCATTTTCTTTTTTTTATTCTCCATAACATGAGAAATGTTATGCATATTTTTCAGAAAAGCAAACACGTACAGCAATTTTTACCAACAGAAGAAACATCAAATACAAAGCATTAAAACACTGGGTAATGATTCAACCTATATTCTTTCAAACATAATGTTCATGCATACAAAATGCACTATTTCACAGAATATATCACTATAGACTGTAACTGTTAAAACTGTAAATTTTAAAACCCCTGTCATTTAAAAATACTTGAAAGGCTGTGTTACATTTGAAAAAACTTATTCCACTGGCTGGCAATATAAACTTTTACATTCAAAAGATTTAGACAAACATGGTTCAGAAAAGTTTTTTTCTTATTTTTAGATTACTTATGGATAGGCAAAGTAAGTTCTTGACAACATATGCAAAAAAATAGCATAACTTGAAACAGCCACATTTCTAAGGAATAAAGTTAGAAGACAGAAATACATTTAGGTTTTATTGCAACGGATGTATAATTTCATATGTCTTCATATTTGCCTTTAACAAACGAAAGTCAAGTTTTGAAAAATATCACTGACCATAAAATTTTACAGTCAGTAAGGGAAGCAAACATTTATATTTTAATTGTAGGCCATATCTAGATAAAATTGTCCATATGTAATTATTTTAGAATGTTCTTCAGACGTATAACAAATATGGCACATTCTAAACTGTGTCCCGTACGCACAGATTTCCCCAACCCTTAAAATAGTCCTCTCTACTTTATATATATTATAAAATGCATATAATCAACACAATTATATAATACATATTATATAACGCATGTAATGCAATAATTGATAAAATACTATAATTATATAATGCACATAAATCTGTCCCTGAACTTATGACTTCTTCCATTTCTGAAGGCAAATAAAAGAACAGAAAGGGGTCTAAGGTTGTTTATTTTCCTCATATAGAAATGAATAAAATGTGTAATTAAAACAAAATGTACCCACAATAAAAACTCTACATTCTGCAGAAAAAGAAGTAATTATTACATACTTACAGGGTTTTTAGAAAGAACTGCTACAATACTTTTTAATTTGCTTTTATGACAGTTGCTAATATAGTCCAAGGTTGCCTTAATCACAGAGGATGGAAAATGAGGAGGATTGGGAGCAGGATCCAGTTCTCTAAATGAATAAAAAGGAGATTTATATTTTTATTCCCAAAAATAAAACATTTTGTATTAAATACAGTAATTCTTTTTAAATAAACACATGAATTCCTAGAAAATCTCTTCTGCTTTCAGTAAGAAGCACCAAAACCACCCAGAAAAGTGACACATACCTTACTTTGTAGCTGCTTATTGTCCCTCTATGGCAGTTCTCTAAGCTGTATTTTCTTAGCATTCTTTTATACTCTTTTTAATGATCTTACTGCTAAAACCCCACACATTTGCGTCTTAAGGTACTTTGTAGGAAAATCTAATAGCAAGTCACAGATAAAGCTTCTGCATTTTGTAATTGTGGGAAAAATTTCATTGAGAAAAAAAGTAATCATGAATCTCATAATAAAAAAAAGGCAGTCAACTTTTCTGGGACCTCAAAAAGAAAAGAAATGCATCATGGTAGTAACAAAAGAGTTAAATCTAAGTTTCATCACTTTTTTGTTACAATTCCCTTCTTAGAAAGAAAAACTTAATTTAAAAGCAGACACCACAGTCTATTAATAAACTCACAGTAAAAAATTTCTTTAAAGAAGAGTTTTAAAATCCTCAGCCACTTAACTTCTGGCAGATTTTCATAGAAACGCTTTAGTTTCCTTCAAGTTTATATTTCTAAAATAAAGATACCTTCTTCGATAACTTTAGGAAGTGCAATGTTTTTCCAAATAGTTTGTATCTTAACACAAAAACCTGGAATTACCTGAATTAACTGAAAAGCTAATAAAAATGGAGATATTCATGGCATTAAAATATTTCTATTTATTAGGAATTTATTTGACATTGCTTAACCAATATCCTTATCAAAAACAAGAGCTGCCACTACAAGAACTGCTAAGAAACTTTACTTCTCAGTGACCTCTAGTTGTTAAAGACCATTAAAAGAATCATCTTAATTTGGAGACCAAAACCTGACCAATTTTACAGAGAGGGCAGTCCATCCAAATTTGAACTAATCCAAATTGGCACTGTCATAATAGTCCAGCTCATCAACATACAATGGCATTCTCTTGTCCACACAATCATTCTTTCCATTCACTGAAGAATTACAGAGGTTCTCCTTCCTGATCCTGGTGAATAACTATGCGAGAAAGCACGACTATGGTACATCATCAGCAGTGACAACAAAATCCTTCAATTCTCAACTTCAAGGCCACCTCTTATGCCTGAAGGGCATGTTTTAATGCACGATGTTATACAAACACACTTGGCGTTTAGAAAATGCACAAACACATACCTTACGTATTTACTTAGATGAGTTCCTTCTTCTACCGTGGTACCAGGTGGTTCATGTAAAGTCATCAACAGTTCAACCACAATCTCTGGTAAGTTATTATGAAACAAATTGTCTATTTGCTACAAGAAGAAAAATGGTATTTTAATAAGAAAAAAAAATTTTAGCTAAAATGATTTAATATTTCTTTTCCTTCTGAGAAAACCTATTTTCTCCTGCCTTGATTCTCTGTTTGTTCCTTTATCCATGACATACAATTCATTCATAATTTCAGTCTGGTTAACTCTTACCTATGGCAGTCACAGGTAGAACAATTTCCTTTCCTACAGCACATAGAAAAAAAATCATGTTTCATTTTACTATTAGTTTTGACTAGTCTGCCTCTGGAGAAGATGGCTCTTTTAACAAAATATTAACCATTAACAAAATATTTTAAGAGGGAAATATGACAGATATATGACAGAGAAACTCAGGGTTATATGATGAATGGTAAAAAAAATTTACTGCATTCTGAAAAAAAATATAATTTAGTCAACTGTCTGCCTGAAAGTTTCTATTGAATAGCTACTTGGAATCCTTGGGGTAAAAATCTGGATGGTTTGAATTTATTAAAATAATAATTTTGTATCTATAAACGAACTGTTTACGTTTACGGAACGTAAAAATGTTTCTTTCTGGACTGTTAAACGCTATAGAACTCAATTTACAATTTTAAAGGGATACCTGTTTTCCTAAGCAGTTTTCATCCTTAAGCATGTCGTAGACTTTAGAAGCTGTATCTCTTTGCTCCACTACTTCACTCATTCCATGGCTTTGATAGGCAAAATACGGAAGGATATTCACAAGTAACTTTGGAAAACAGTCTGTGAGAACCTGTCTCCAGTCTTTTTCAATCTTGTCAGCAAGTGACTTCACATCTTCAAATTGACTTCTAACCACAAGGTGTGGAACCAGAACTTTATAACAAGACCTACAGACAGCAAATAGATTTCCAAAATGTCCTTGAATTGGTTTTTTTAAAAAACCCTGAGCATCATATAGCAAATACTGTTCCACTGCTTTATAACAAAGCTTACAATCATTTTTCAGCTATTGCTACACACACACACACAAAATTTACCAGCATAAATATAATATACTTGATGCTTAGAATACATTTCAAAAGTTCTCAAAATATTACCTTACAACAAAATCCTGATGCATTCCTACATTTAGAAATTTGGGACCCTGTGTCATAATTTTAAATAAAATCTAAATAGTACTTTCATATATAGCAAACTTACCTGTAGAATTCTTCAAGGCTAGCATAGTTCAGAAGAACATAAGGAAATGCAGATAGGCTGTATCCACTGTCATTTATTTTCAGCCACTCCATCACCAAATAGTCTAAATGTGATGTCATGAATTCTTCTATACTTTTATAGCCAAAAATGTCAGATACTTTCTTCAAAACCTGTACATGAATTAAGATTGCAAAAATAGCATATAGAGTACATGATACCATGGCAAATTGACAGCATTACACCTCCATGTGTACCCCTCCACCTTTTAATGAATATTTGTGTAACTCAGCTCCTATTAGCATAAGTAGGGGGTTTTTTTTATTATTTGTATTGCCATATCTTAGAACAGTACCATCAAGGAGTTTTGTGAAGTAGGGACTTTGTGTAAAAACAGAAGGCAGCGAATAGAAAGAAAGGATAAAAAAGAGAGAATACATGCACTTGAAAAATGACTGACACGAAAGGCTGGCGTATAAACAGCAATCATTTCAGTATGCCCTTGTGAACTTCAAAATAGACGTATACTATCTTCCAATATTTTGCATTTATTTTACATATTTTCCACATTGGAAAATTTGCTTCCACTGGGTAAAAATATTTTTTTAAACGAAATCTGCAATCTTCAATGTATAAAAGTCTATTTGTATTTCAGATCTGTGCTTTGAACATACAAGATTTACCACTAAAATTGGCTTTCATGATGTCCTTATTTCTATGTAAGTAGTTAGATATAATTACAAAATCATTCAGTTAAATACCACATTAGTCATACCTTTACAAAATTTAACAACTTTCCACACTGACAAAGCATTTTGTACTCTTCCAATTTTAGCAGAACCTAAATATAAAATGGAATTTTATACTCGCCTTTTTCACCAGGTGAGGTTCTAATCCATTCTCTTTCACAGACTGGCAAAGGGCAAACAAAGCTTGCTTTTCACAGACTGGACTGCAGCACAGGACCATGGTTATAAGCATCAGCAAAACCGCTTTTCCATTATGCTGTTTGTCCAAAAGCTCTTCAGGACTCGCGTCACCCCTGACCTTTAATAAGAAATAACGAAGAACTTGGACAAATATTCTGTTATAGCATTCTCCTAATTAATAAGTGAGCATAAATAATTTAAAGTTAAGGCCACTAACATAAATACTGCTGAAAATCTTGCTTTAGTTGCTTAAAAATTACTTCCCCCAGCTGTCTGTTTCACTTCTCAACCAGAAGTTACTGCCTCCAGCATGCCAGCACACCTGCTGATACCTTGTACCCTCCAGTTCATGTTATAATATCAGTAGTTTAAACAAATGCAACCCACTTAACAGAGAAATTATGGAGGCACAAGACAAGTCTCCTTTTTGCTACTCCCTGATGCATATAGGAAAGAGCTGCCTTGCCATTCAAATGCAGTTCTTCCCCTATTAAGGCATGGTGTTGACAAGTGATGAGTTTAAATAAAAGCATTAAGAACCTGCAATGAAAAGGCAGAAGCTGAGACAACACCAAACTGATGTGACAGAACAAGGAGCCAAGGCAACACAGAAATTAGAAGAGATGACAAAGAGCTGGAGGCAGCAGTTCTGAGAGAAAACACGATGACAGAGAGATGAGGCCTCAGCAGCAAGCCCAGACTAGAAGACATTGGGGAAAGGGAACAGAAAAAAATGCAGCAGAGAGATGACATGCAGAGAGATGACAGCATGACAGAAAAAAAGTATAAAATGTAGATGATGTAGATGACTTAGCAAGGTAGCAAGGATAGAAGAAAAGTGAAAGACACTAAAAGAAAAATTATTAAAGAAATTCCACAGTAATATACCACAGTATTTTCAGTCACTGCAGTGAAGTCAAAATATTCCTTCACTTCAAGATTCTTCTGAGTAGTTTAGTTTCTTAAGCATATCTTCATTTTGTGAAAACCACTGCCCTAATACCTCTCGAAACATGATTTTTCTGTAATTTACAAACCTGGTTTTATTCTTTGTAAACAATAACTTAATTTACATTGCCTCATTCATTATTTGTATGTTGTCTAGATTATCAAGGTTACATTTTTCTACGATTTTTAAGTGTTAAATCACTGAAAGCTGCAAAAACAAGTAGTATGATTCAGAAGAGCAGTCTGAAAAAATTTACAAACTTCTAATGTGGGTAAAACAGCGTGTAACTGGGTGTGTAAGGAATTTCCTGACCACCACTCTGTTTCCCCAGTTCAGATTACCAGAAGTCCAGAAGAACTAATGTTCTTGGAAAACTAAAAACAAGCATGTTAAAAGTAATTTTATTCACAAAATGAAAATTAGGCAAAACTAATGACTAGATGTTGGTACCAGGTTTCTCATTCCTTCCTGAACTCTGAGATATGCATTCTCAAAAGCCTTCTGCTGGAGCTTCAAGGGAAGAGGTTTTGACATTCCAGAAGAATCTCTCTGTTTCACATCTTGAAACAAACTTTAAAAGAAAGAACAATCATTATTAGCATAACATGCCTACAGAGTTACTACATACTGTGCTTATCAAATAATAAGATTCTGATTTTCTGAATATAATTATTTTTGTCTTCATTTTCTAATAGAGCGATTTCCCTCCACTCCCTTAAACATAATCAAGAATATCTGTTGGAGTGAAATGGCAGAGAACAGTCTCAAAATACATAGAAGTTTCCCAATCTCTGCCAGTGTAGGAAGGCAAACTTGAGTTGTCTGTCATAACAGATGGACATTTCATGTCACAATGTACGTTGAGAGTGAATTTGCTGAACAGGGGTATATATAAAAAGAGTTTCTCAAAAAACATGTTTTGTAGATAAAGGCCCAACCCACTTTGCTCTTTGTAACAAACATGGGAGCACCACAGTGAATCAAACCAAACATTACTCCAGCCATTTCTAAGTGACTATTAGCAGTTACCTAAGAAAGATCACCATATGCTTGCCTTGAATGCATAATAATTCCTTGAATATAAAATTTGATCACAGGTGACCCAGGCAGATCATGAGTTAGAAGTAATGACTGTATTTAGTATACTTCAACAATTTCCTCTTTCATTAATTTCTTGCTTTTTGAACCCCTGTAAACACTCAGACAGTTGAATAACACTCAGGATAAGTTGTTGTACAAAGAAATAAACCACATTTTCTCGGAATCTTGAACCTGTTAGCTTCACCTGATGTGTCCTTAAACTGAAAAGGACTGTCGATATTCACTTTGTTCTGATTCAGATTTTGTGGAATTATGTTACACCTCCTGCAATTCAACTCTTTTGGTGCTGAAGGGCTCCATTTTATACAACTGATAGTTGTGCATAAAGTGTTTCATACTTTTGAACAACTCTCCTCTACTCCTATTCCAGTTCAATTATACCCTTTTTGATGTACGGAGGAAGAACAGTATTTAAAAGACTAGATCCTCTGAAAAAGTTTGTATGCTATACAAGGTACCTAATCTCTTTTTAGAGGATAAACAACCATTTTCTATTCAGGTTTTGCATAATAAATTTAGTATAAAATTTGCTATCATATATAGTTTTATACATATATGTATAGTTTCTCTCTCTCTATATATAGATCTCTCACATCACAGAATAACTAAAAAGTAGATGAAGTTTGAACACTTTACTGTTCAACCTGAACACAAAGTAACTTGGTAGGTTTTTACATTCTGCCAAGATTAAAGTCCCAGAAAAGAGTAGCTATGCAGAAGCCGAAGTCATACCTAGTAAGGTGAAATCAAGCATCATTTTTATAAACAGAAAAAATATCTGCATTTTCACCTGATAATTGACTTTGCAGCAAGAATGCGAACTTGATGGTGACTGTCTGCAAGGAAATGTGGGAAGGCATCATTCACAGGTAGATCTTCATTTCTCACATTGAGGATTGCCCACTTGCAATGAGGATCAGCCTGAAGAAAATTAATATTGTGATTTAAAATCTACATCAGATAGATACACTGAAAGATGCAAAAGATCTTGAGACACTATTTTTAATTACATCTTCTGTAAATATTTAGCATGCTAATGAATGTCAGAAAATCTGGAATTACCTCAAGCAGAGCTTTCATGCAGTTTAAAAGGGCCACTCTTACTGATGCAATGCACTTCCCTCCTTGAGATAAATGCCTAAAATAAGGAAAACTTGTATAAAGGAAAAAGTTGCCCACCATTTTGAGAAACAGTCTAGCAAGTTAGTTTCTGCTGCTCAGTTGATTACTTTGTACTCAATAGGCACATTTGGGTGGATGTGACATTTTTACTGGTAATTGCAAACTATTCATTTTTGTTTGCTGAAGTTATCACTTGTTATAATTACTGATGCAATTCAGAGTAGAATCAGTCTTTGTTAATATACAACACTATAGGGTTTATTGTTTCAATACTATCTTAAGGACAAATCTTTGCTACAGATATAACATGTCAGAAAATCCAGAAAGTTAAATCCTGGATAAAGATATCATAGTATACCAAAAGCAAGACAGAGAGAACAAGCACTACAGTCTTCACAGTGATAGCAAAGTTAAAAATTCAAAGTCAAAAATTTTATGTCCAATAGACTTCTTCATTAGATAACATACCAAAAGGCTCCAACAACTGTCAAAAACTGTCCTCTGGCACTCCCTGTCTCTTCAGCATGCGCATCAGACTGGGCCAACCCTACTGCTATAGGGAGCAAATTATTCAGAATTTCTTTACAGACTTCTTGATCTCGACGGTACAAAGAACATACAATACTGTGAAAAAAAGGAAGAAAATCTTGAAAAACTAAAAAGCCACCAAATCCTCTAAAATAGATGCAAACAACGCTGAATAGTGTCTCTCTTACGGAAGAGGTTTCAGAAGCATATCTGCATCCATTGCAGGCAAGAGGTGTTCTTCAGTAGGGAGCTCCTTCAAAAGAACCAAGTACTGTGGAATAAAAAAAAACAAACGAAATAAAAAACCCAAACAAAACCAAAATGAAAAATAATACTTCATAAATTGAAAATACTACTTAAGAAAATGAGTAAACAAAAAGAAAAATCAGGAAACTTTTTCAGTAACTCTTACACAAAATCATGCAGCAAAGATACCTATTGTCAGCTATTGTGTGTTACACTGGTCATGTTTTCATGCAAAGGCTGTCACACAGTAATACAGATCATGAAATATTTAGTTCTGGCAGTAAAAATATTTCCTTTGTAAACTAAAACACAGATCCTATTATAGTACAGAGACTGTTTCTAGTTGTTTACCAAATAATTAATGATAAAGGCAAAATGTTATACTTCTCAACTCTTTTATTTTCTGGCTGCTTACAAATTCTAACTGCTCTTTCCCTGACCACAGCACACATCAAAACCACTAGACGTAGCCATTTTAAGTCTCTTCAAGGGACTGACAACAGGAGAGAAACAATACGTAACTGACAAGAGTTTACAAATGTAATAACAGTACAATTACAGAGGTCGGTCTGCTGTGAGAAAAGCTCACACTCACCATGTGCAGATGTAATGGTTTAGTGCCATCAAAGACACTGACATCAGTAAGCATTAACAGCCTCCGCCGGATGTCAGAGGCTCGGAAGCTCACTGTCTGAGTTTGGACTGTAGTTACACAAATACATAAGAACCTCACAATTTCAAGGAGAAGTAAATCCTGCTTTGTCAACTGTTCCTCAGCTAATGGGCTCACAGCACCTGAAAATAAGATTTTCGTGTAAGAAATGTTTCTCCGAGGACAACAGAAAAGGCGGTAACATTTTACGTCTTTACAAAACTACTAGGTTCTCAAAACAGACAAGTTGCTCGTCCTCCTTGTTATCGAGCAGTTAGTGCATCAGTAACAGCTTAAGTGTGCTTCCCACGCCTACAAAGATTTTAACACAGGTTTTAAATTTCTGTGCCCATACACACAGCTGATTTCTCCATCAAGGTTAAAATGAACTCTGTAGAACCATCCACAACTGTGTTCTTCTGTTAACCGTTTCTTAGGATATATTTTAAAGTACAGATTCTAAGCTTCCCCAAACTTGAAATTATGACAATTACTATGTTAATATCCTAATATCCTATGATAATAACCTAAATGAGATAGGTACAGATGTAATTTTCCTGTCACATTTTGGACTCCTGTAAGTTCCTGCAATTGCTAGCTTTATTTATTCACATTATTTATAAGATGTCCGGAGAAGATACTTATAAAGATACTTATTCAACGTGACAAGAAAATAGACCAGCTGCTGTTTGTGACAGTAATATAACACCCAGATTTCCTTCTCAGTCAACAATAAAAAGACATAGTGCTGGTTAAACACTAAGATACACATCATTTTATGCAAGAATTTAAAACAAAAGAGAGCATCAGTACTTGTGGCTCCTAACAGAAATAAACAGACAGATTCATGCTCCTGCCTCTCTGAAGCTCCAGAGATACAAAAAAACTGATCATGTTGAAGGAAGACAAGGCTTTAGAAGGCTCATCAGGAAAAGGAGAAAAATTAAACAGCACTACTTTTAAGAAAATGCAGCACAGTCTAATGAGAGACAGGTGTTCTACAGACACTTCTTTTAGTCTCTTCTTTGCCAAAACTTCTGCCTGGCTTTGAAAAAGTTAGCTAGCTTCTCTTCTTGCATTTTATTACTTATAAAAAATAAACTTCTCCTTTCTAAATGAGCTAGAACATTTCATTAACACCTTTAAAACACTGATGAGAATTAACTGCTTAGGAAATACCTGGTTCAACCACTATCTGTTTCAACTACTAATACAGCACAACTTTGTATCTTGCTATCTTTCAAGCAAAGACCAATTTGTAAAATCAAGCTTTTGCAAGTAATTTTGGACATAGAGAAGACTCACCTGTTGCAGTTTGCATATCACCAGATTCATGTGTATCACTGATGTCAGTCACTGAACGATTATCAAACAGATCATCAGATACCTGGTTATCTACTTCCATTATACTCTCCTCAGGATCATTCCTGAGATCCACTTCTCCCAGTACGCTTGGTTTTCCAGTAGCTGTCATCTGGCAAAAACGCCACACCCTTTTAAAGCTGGCTTTTAAAGACAGAAGAAACAGTGCAGGCACAGCACAAGAGACACTACAGTTTCTCAGTGAACTGGAGTAGGTAATGACAGTAAGAGTTACATGAAATTGATGAATTCCATCCTTTGGGGTAAACCTGTCATCTACACATATGAACCATCTCAACTATTCTCTTTAGGACATAAGCTTTCTCAGAGAGATACTCATCTCTGTGTCAGTTTTTTTAAAACAGCTCTCCCTACAAGACCCAAAAACTTCTCATTATACTTCATAATTCCAGAGAAATGAAAAGGCATGTGACTTTTTTGGGGACACATTTAATTACTACTCTCCCTACAGAATGACAAGAAGGTAAAACTCTCTGCTCTTCCTCATCTTTAAAAATAAAGGAATTTGCCCACCTAGACCTGACTGCAATGTGTCAAAAAGAGAAGTTTTAAGAATTTTGCTAAACACAGTGAAGTGCCACACTACTACTTTTCCCGGTGAGCTATTTACAGTTAAATAGTCACATAATAAACACCAAAAAAACCCTTTAAAAATGCATTAAACGCCGTGTGTTATAGCTTTTTTTGTATATACTTATACTATAACAAAGTATTAAAAAAATGAAAAATAGAATAATTTTGGTTTTTAATGTGAACTGGAATGCTAACCTTGATCACACGTTATCCATCTGCTCTCCCTAAGCCTGTGTTCAAATGCTAAAGAAAAATGCTTCCAGTTAGGAATTCTCTATAAAACTCAATGAATTTTTATTTTTTTTCAATAATACGTATCTTGCTTGGTTTGCCTCCAAATTATTGTGCTGTAAAAACAATCCTCTCACAGAAGAACACTGCATTTTGAAACAGACAGAATGTACTTACGAGATTTTTGCAAATATCTATGAGATCGTTCATAAATTTTGATGTTAACAAACGCAGGAATATAGTAGACAATATCTTATTAGCACTGTTCTGTAAGAAAGCAAGATATACGGATAGGCTAATTAATTTTTTTCCAGGAGCCATATGTATGATATTTAACTTTGTGATCTCATTAATGAACAAAGAAATAAAAACTCCTTCATAAACTTTTACCTTGGTGCAATTGCACAAACATTTTGTATACTGCATTATCAAAGTCCTCAGAGAGTTGACATGGGTATCTTCATTTAGTTTGTTTTTTGACTGAGAAATGCTTTCTCCAGCATAGTGAATGAGAGACTAGTAAAAACACAACATGGTTGAAAAACCTCAGTTAAATGCCTTTGTACATTCGCACATACACATCACACACAAAAAGAAAAAAGGATACGATTCTCATTCATACAGCTTTGATATTCATAGTGTGCAACAAAAACCTGGCCTAGGTGTGCTTGAAACACTAATATTTTCATCGCAAAAGAAAAATACAGCATATGCCCATAATGTGTAAGTTTGAGGGGTTCCTGTAAGCAAGAAACTACCTCAGATAGTAGTAACAACAATAATAGCAGCAGTAGCTGTCTTCATAGTGGCTTGAAACATCAAATTATCTTAAATTCCTGCATAAAAGACCTAAAAATGAAAGGACTTGTTATCCTATAAGTAGGCCTTGGTCTACACGTCCAGGACAATTCCATTTTTTTAAAAGGTGTAACTCAGAAATGTAACAATACTTAGAATAATCTGTACTGTAAAACTGGCCTCCTGGTATACTGACAATTTCAGTGACTCTTTCACAGAGAAACACATTTAAACCTCTCTAAACTGCCTTTTCTAAGCAGAAATCAGTGCTCTGAAAATGTGTCAATGTGAGCAGAATTTTAAGATTTAATTTAATTCTTTATCTTATTTTTAATAGCTCCCAAATGCATTACTGCTTACCTTAGCATTCTGGAACAACTCTGATTTACAGGCATCCTCTTCTTTAAATATACCAGTGTAGCAATAGCAACCAAGAACACCAACCAAGAGACTGACACATCGGACAAGGTGTTCAGCAGCAAGAACCTTAGACTAAATCAAATACACGGTATAAATACCATTAGTTTATCACCACAAAATACAGAATTATTTAGTCATTTTTAAACAATTTATATGCGAAGATTTGCATCCTAGTGTTTGGCATCGCAGCTGCCTCAGCTCCTGAACAAGTTCTTTCAGCTCTCCATGTTATAATACTAGCTGTATGTCCCCTGGTCCTTAGGCTTCCATCCTTCAAACCACTTTTAATTCCCTCTCTCCTTTAGATTCCATCACGGCAATACTTCCAAGCTCTTGGCATGTACTCTGTTTATCTCACCTTCTGCAAGGACACAAGACAGTACTAGCAAGTCAGGAACTGGATCACAGGATAGTTCAGACTCAGCAGGTCTCTGGTCCAACCTCCTGCATACAGCGGGGTCAATTTAAGGTCAAAATAGGTTACTCAACGCTTGATCCAGTCAGGACTTGAAAACCTCAGAGGAGGCAGACTGTACAACCTCTCAGGCGAGGTAACCTGTGCCACAGACTGACTGTCCTCACATAGATAAAATTCTTCTTGTACAAGCATGAACTTCTCTTGACTCTGCCTGCTGTCTCACATTCCTGTAATAAATCACTGTGAATGAAGAGCATGGCTCTCTCTTTCAGATAATCTTATAGGAACTGGTAGGGTCCCCCAAAGCCAGTTCTGCTCCAGGCTGAACAAGCCCAGTTTCTTCTGTCTTCCCTCCATAGGGCCAAGTGCTGGAGCTCCCACCATCTCAGAGGCCTCCACTGAAGGCATCACATGTCTGTTTTGCACTGAAAGGCCCCAAACTGCGTGCCATCTAAAGGCAAAGAGTGAAGGGGGATAACCAGGTCCCTTGAGCACTGGCTCTACTCTTTTTCATGTAGCCTGTATTTGCAGCTTTCTTTACAATTATACCTTTATAGAGTTGCTTCCTTTTACAAAACCTAGTTAAGACCTCTATGTCTCAGGCTAATTTGGCTGAAAACTGGAAAGAACTCGCAGCATTACAGGGGCACAGAAGTTGAAACCAACATCACAAAAGCAGGGTAACTGGTTCATGTGGCAACTTGGTACATGCTTACACTTCGATACAGCTACTACATACTTACACATACTTATGAAAACTATGGATATTTTGTGAATTATGTAAATAATTTGCCTTGAAAATATATTGTTTGGGAGCACAAATATAATGATGTAACAGTAATTTCTAACTTACCTTAGGAGCACAATTGCTTAAAAGCTTTTCTGACATTGCTAAAAGGCAATTCTCCAGTGTTTCCCTAAGATTTTGGTTGATGGCAAGTCTTGAACCAGTCACGTTTTTATCTGCAACATTTACTGCAAAGTTAGTGAAAATATCCATTTCATCAAATGTTGTCTGCAGGTACAGCTCTTCGACATCAGAAAAACCGTTTTCTTCTTTACTCTGCACATGTTGCTCACTTGAAGAAGAGAGATAGTTTTTACTTTAGCAGCCGGTATACAACTTACAAGTTTTTAAAAGAATTATTTAAATATAAGAAATAAACAAAAGTAAAGTAAAATATTTTATCTTTTTGTGCTTCCAAACTCTGGTTGACCTTTAATTTTTGACGTGACTTTCACCAGCTCTAACTCAACTGCAAGGAAACATGAAGCCTGCAAACAGATCACACCTCCTACTGCAGTTCATATGGAAGCATCTTTTTTGTGTCAAGATCTCTGACCTCAGCCTAGTTTACATAACTGGAGGAGGAATTCATAAAACCCCTAAAACTAGAATTTTTAACTTTTAGTAGGAAAGTCTTATCTTGCATTAGAAACATTGATACACATTTTAGTTTCATTAAGAGGGAACTAGATATAGTCCAAAAGCTTGAACATACACATTGGCGAAACACGCAGCAGCACTCCTAGCTTAAGTATCTATAATTATTAATTTAAAAACATACCATTTAGCATCATTTTGGAAGAAGTTCATAGCAGCTCTACAGTTCTTCATTGTAAGACTCACAAGAATTTTTTGTAATACGAGATGAGGAAAATCACTGTGAAGAAAGAAAATGTTTTTGTATTGTCTTGCAATCAGACAAGCTCTTATGATTCCTGAAGTGCATCAAACGTTAGGCAGATTAACCGTTTTCCAGAAGAAAACCCTAAGTTTACACCGAATATTTCTAACACATAGATCATGTATCTTGAATGATATAGACAGATAACTAAATTAGGTCCCCAGAATCACATTCTACAGTAAGCTTAAAAACCCCATAAACTCTATGGAAGCATTAACATAAGAAAATTCTGCATTAACATAATACACTTTTCCCTGCGCAGTTTTCTGTGTTATAGGGTGAGCCTACATGTAAAATTATGCCCCGAAGATTTTACCTGCAGAGCACAGGAGGCAATTCTGCACATTCTTCTATCTCTTCCTCCAAATTGCAGGACAGGAGCCATTTCATTATTGCCTCCCTTAATGCAGAATCAAGATTTCTTTCAGAAATATTATGTTCCATTCCTGTGTCCAAATTTTCTGGCATGGAGTAGGCAGACATCACTAATGATAAACAACATACAGAAGAGCTGTAACAAAAATGGAACGGGATTTGTGAGAAACAACATGGTATTTGTTGACCAGCACTCTAAAGCAAAGTCAGTATTTCTCCATGCACAAGAATCATCAAGTACATAAGCACGCATGCTGGTTAACACTTTCATTAAAATCTTTGCATTTTAGTTTTTCTTGGCTATTACAGACATTTCTGATCTATTTTAAAGACTGTTTCAGAACATTTATTTCAGAATAAAAATTTAAAAGAAAATACACCTTTTTATTTCAAAAAATCAACAGATCTGCCAGTCAGATTTTAAATTTTTAGTCCATTTTAAATGTGAAGATGCTTGCCTTTCCTCTTCTGCCTCTTGCTTTCAGACTTACATACTTATGGTCACTTTAAATGCTTAAAAGACAAAAGTGTGCAGTTCTTAAATAGAAATAGAGCCACAACAACAATAATATTGAGTGGTTTTGGTTTCACATTAAAGAGGAATGTGAATCAGACCCAAAACACTATCCTTGCTTCCATTTTACCTTGAAGGCTTGCATGCAGGTCCTGAAAAGATCTTCCACAGTTCTTTATCTGTCACGACAATGTTTCCTTGAATCATAGCTCCAAGTAGCCCAAAGCTCTCCACTTCAATTTGCTGGAAGCTTACACTGCGAATGGTAAGAGTCCAAATCTTTGCCCAGGTTCTCTGGAGCTCCAACTTGTGGGTGCTTTTCAAATCAGTTTTCTGGGTTTGGCACAAAGCTACCTCTGTGAGACACTTCAGCACGTATCGGGTCCTCTCTCCTCGGCGCTGCTGAGGCAGTAACTGGTGAAGTACATTGAGCAAGGGAGGTAGCTCATTGCTAGGAAGACTCATGGGATACTTTGATATTAATTGAGTTGTAATCTGTAACCTTGAAAATAGAAAGTGAAGTAATTAACAGCAAACATACAGAAATTTCCATTTTCAGGAGTAAATTAACAAAGCCTTCTCCGATTGCCACTTCATGTTTATACTTTCCAGTATTGAGCTGATTTGTTTACTATCAAAATATACAGATTCAGTATTTCTACCATTTTCACTTGTAAAGTCTGCACATCTAGCCTCACTATCACTAATAATTTCTTACAACTGACTTCACTGATTTTGATTTCTTACAAGCCAAGTTCACACATTTCTGACCTCAAGCAAACAAATTTTCAGGCCAAAAAATATATTTTTCTCCTTCTGGACTAGCCTGTTATAAACTCTGACACAGAGAAGGACCTCAAAGGTGAAATTACACGAAGAGGAAAACATTACAGCAACATCTCTGCAGACAGGAAAATGAAAAGATGTTTAGCTGGGAATGGTATGTTGGAAGAATTTTGTTTATAGCAATGGTTGCAGCTGGAGTCAAAAACACGGTGGGATTCTTGGGGCTGTCCTGTGCAGGGCCAGGAGTTGGGTCCTTCTTGGCCCCTTACAAACTCAGGATATGAAATTACAGTACTTGCAGTATTTTTTGACCATTGGCACCTCCACACAGAACAGCATGTTAACTTCTCACCTGGATCCTAAACAGCCATTTTGCCCCCATACCACAAGCAGTAAACACACACACACACAAAAACCTGTCACCCCAGCTCAGGAACCAATTCATAAGCAGCTACGCTGCTGTGGTATCTTGTACAGCAGTTTCCAGGAAAAGTCAGAAAGACAGAGAGGCACAGTAACAGCAAAAAACATCCAGCGTGATCCATTTTAGTTAAACAATGAACATGCCTGGGCTCAGGGCTACAACTGGTAGGTTCTGGAAAAGTCCATCTGTGGTCTTTTAAAAGTAATGACTCCTTGCTACACTCATTGCTAGAGAGTCCTCCTGCAACAGTCAGAAGGACATAAGGCTATACCTCCAGTTCATGGCAAGCATAATACTCCTCAATCGAAGTCCAAGGTAAAAAGCCAGGCCTTGCAACAGTTTTCAGGCCAGGTATTACAGAAAACTGCATGAACTAGTCCAAAATGGCCAAACTGTCAATGGTTGCTATGCTATGACACAGCCAGAGTAAGACAGCAGTAAATACCATGTAATTCCCTAATACTCATAAAATGGATCACAGACAATGCTTACATAAAGAATGGTAATATCTAGCACAAAAGACAGGTAAAAAATCAAAGACAGTAATATCTTATACACTACAACAGTTTACCAGGCCTCATTTGTTATTTGCTAGGAAATTAAAGATGAAAAGTTTTTAAGGCAAAAGTACCAAGAGCAGTACTCACTGCTTTCCAAATACTGTGAGAATCTAAGTTCAGTTATTAGATATATAATTATAGCATGTGCAGACACCCAACTTGAACGCACAACATATTCAGGAGAGTGTTAAATGTAAAAAGATGTCTGGAGTGATACTTTTTTCACGTAAAGATGTTATTACCAAGGTATGACATCAAAATCCTTCTGGGACATTTGCACGTTGTCTCGAATGACCCCCCAGCCTAGTTCAATCCTCCTGCGCTTGTTTGGTACTGTGTCCTCACTGGGCTCTCTTTGGGTAACAGCAAATGACTGGGTAATTTCAAGGACTTTGGTATCCTCTGTAAAAACCTTTTATTAAGAGAAATTTAGAAGTACACAAATGAAAAAAAAAAAAAAAAGTCAGCATTTACAAGAAAACTGAAATGCCAACCTAAACTAGTCCATTTTTTTACTGTATATAAAGCCTCTTAAGAGGGAATCAGAATTATTATTTATTATTCTTTACTGTAACAAGACCTCTGCTTATAGCCTAACAAGAAACTGCAGTGAAATCCAGTATACTACACTTCTAAGCTGTACAAAATTAACAACTAAACACAACAAAACACAGATAAAAAGTATGAATATCTCAGTAAATTCTTCTGAGGAATAATTGAGTCATACTACTTTAAAAGGCAAAACATACAACTCAGTAATTACATAGTCAAGTTTATATTAAAAAAAAAGTTACCTGATGACAAATATCAGCCATTAACTCAATTAAATTTTCCTTTACAGCAATATTACGAGAGCCTGAAGAATACTTTCCTCTACTACTGATGAGATTTATTTCATTCACGAGAAGATCATACAGGTTATGCAAGATACTTTGCCATTTTGTTAAGTCATATGCACCTGTACACGCAAAAACAATGAAAACATAACGTGTATCACCCACTCACTATGTAAACTTAACCAGGCAGTGCAAAATTCAGCCAAAATCAGGAAAAAGCATACAAACTTCAACACTTATAGGCCTGCAAACCAAGTTCTATAATGGAGAATGGATAAAGTTAAAAAGTGAAAAAGTTAAGAGAGAACTTAATCAGCACACACAAGTAATTAAGGTAGGAATTATGTTTCTAGTGAACAATTCTTCATCTAATTGGAAAAAATACAGTAAAATGCAATGGATATATTTGTACAAAGTAAAAAAAAAAACCCTTAAAAATTATGCTAGAACTAAAATAGGCCATGGCAAACACAATTACTGAGTGATATTGTCTGAGCAGTTTTATAGTATAAGGCACACTTAATTGAGAGTAGTAATCTCTGGTCTTTAATAGATCGGGTACGATACCAAAATATGTGGCAATCTAAAGAATTATTTCCCTTCTACAGAGACTCAGTGTTTTGATTTAGTAAATCAAATCGCCTTTTGACTAAAAAAAAATCCCCCCCCCCCCGAGTTTTAAAGGACTTCACAAAACTAATATTCTCTTGATGCATAAAATTTGGAAACCCTTTTTCACTTTCACTCAGCATTAACCTAAAGCAAAAAACTACTGTCAGATAATCATCACTTCCATCAATGGTTCCAAGACTCGGTATCAAAATTCAGAGTAGGTACACTAAATTCAACAATCACATACAGCAGTAAGAAAAAAAATGGAGTTTTTTATTGTACCTCTTCCCTGAGTTTTTGCACCCTTTGGATGATGAATATGAACTTGGAGACGAAATAACTCAATTATTGATTCCTTCAGGGAATCCTTTGGTCTATAGTGAGTCCATATATAAAGCAACGTTGGCAAAATTTCTTCCCCTACTTTACAAATCTGTATGCGACAGTTGTCAGCAAACTTATTGCAGAAGATATTCATTGCTCCAACAATATGATCCAGGCCTGCACTATTCTTCTCCTGTCTGTAACATAAATCAAACATGTACACTTCCAAAAGAAAGAGTCTGATTTCTTTTCATAAGAACTGTTCAAATGTAAATACTAGCAAGTAACTACATTCAGAATATTATTTGCCTAACAAATGCAGAAGTTATTAGTTTTTTAAACAAGTTATTACATTGGCATTCAAAGACAGAACAAAATATATCTAAAGAAGTAGTACCTGTTATTACTCAATACCAATCTCATTACTTAAATACTTAAAATTATTTATTTTCTAAAAGTAGGTACTAGCATACAAAAGGAGCACTTGCAACATACCTTGCAGATTGCATTGCTTTTGAAAAGAAGATAAGCATATCAGAACTCAACCCGTCAGTTTGGAAGCAGTACCCCCTCATAAGTGTGTGAATTACCCTAGCCACCAAGACTCTACTAATATTTCCAGAAGGCTTGAGGTATAACTGGCCATACAGGATCAGCAACTCTGCAAATGTATTAAAAAAAACACAAATATAATAGAGAATTACATTAAAAGAAGTTTGATGAAAAATAATACAATAAAGATACAGCAACCACCACTGTGTGGTTAACAGCTGGAATTTATGCTTTTACTTTCAACTGCACCAGAACCCTGATTTTATAAAGAGAAATCTGACTTCCTCATTGTACCCCAAGAGTTACAAGCAAGCATTAAAAAAAATCACTAAAAAAGGTTATGGTAACATTTACAAAGCTCATATATCTCTCAGTCAATAAAAGCAACTTGTTTCCTTTAATGGATTAAAGTCTGTCTTCCTTTAGATTCATGGTCTTCAGTGCTGCCTCACTCCTGTAACTAAATTACACTGCACCCCTTATGATCTAATGTCAAAATTTCTTCTGTAACCCTTCCAGCTTTTGTCCATACACAGACTCAGCTAACTTCCATGTTCCTAAACAAACTAACCACCACACAGAAATCCCTATAGGCTCCTGGCTTCTTGCCTCATTCCCTACCCACTTAGGCTCAATTCTACCTAAGTACCCTGTTCTTGTTCCCTGTTTATTGCTCTGAACTCCAGCTTCCAGCCTCCCTATCTGCTCACTCCTTGTTTTCGCTTTCCATTCCAATAGCGAATTCTATTCCAATTCCATGGAGGCTGACAGCATTCCTAGTATCAGGCAGTGCTCTCATACGGTTCCAGCTTCCCCTTCAATCTTCAACTTCCAGTTCTATCTCCACAGCCAAATTGTACCAACTTCTTTAACTTTGGAGATCTCATCCTCAGGCTCTTTAATTACCCAACCACACAGAATCACAGAAAGATTTAGGTTAGAAGGGACCACAAAGATCATCTAGTTCCAACCCCCCTGCCATGGGCAGGGACACTTTTCACTAGACCAGGTAGGTCACAGCTCCATCCAACCTGGCCTTGAACTCTTCTAGAAATCTCCCACCCTGAATGATTCCATTTCAGTTGCTCTGCTTTGCCAGTCCTCAGCAGGGTTTTCTTGCCTCCCTTTTCACTCCCAGTATCACCAGACCCCTCTTCTGAGTTCTTTACAGGCTTATTTCTATTCTGTAGTTAAGCCACTCTCTTCAAGTGGCAAAGCAGAGCATTTTCTCATAAAATGCCTTCAGAAATCCAAACTCTGACTTCAAAGCACTCCTCTACATACAATACTTCTAAACTTTCTCCACAACTGCACATGCAACATCCAACAAACTAGACTATAAAACTTCTAATGCCCCTTTTTCTTTTCAAAATACTATCAACAAATGTAAAAAGGTGAGTTGAGAGATTAGTAGATGTCAGATAATTCAGAATACATAAACATTCTTCTCCATGCTAAAGAAATGAACTGTCAAATTGTAGTCAGATCCAATCCTCTGAAAAGTTAAAAACTATCTGTGCATTTCCACTCAGTTCAGGTTGCATGCTCTATCATTACTCAACTTTTACATCTCTTTTTTGCTATTTACATCTTAAGCTTTACAATTTTTCTTTACATACGACATGTGCATAGGAGAACAGCCACTCATTGTTTCTTTAGGACCTTCATAAGCCATCAAAACTCAGATAATAAAACTTAAAAGTAACACATTGACTGTATCAAACCTATACCAGCCAGTTTCTAATAACTTGCAAACAACTGCACACCAACATTAACTTTACTGAGGTTTTCTCCAGCACACATATTCCATGGATTTGCTATAGGTGTTAAGCCCTGGGCAGACCATGCACACGTAGCCTGATTGTAAATAAACACACATGTTTAAGCAAGCAACAGACAAACAGTGTGCAGAAAGAAAAAAAAAAATCAATTCCAAATCTCTGTTGCTTTGTTTATTTCAACTGTAAGCCTTCAAGACTGACACTGCTTCACTCCATATTTTGAGTAGTATCTCATACCACAGGGCCTCAAACGAATTAAAATGCATCTAACCACGTTTCTGTTGCAGGAAAAGAGATTTCTAAGTAGGTTTAAAAACGTTACCTGACCACTGGTGCTGGGATATCGCACACCAGTATTTCCTTACTGAGAGGATATCTTTTAGGAGTATGTTACTACAGTCAGAACCGTATGCAGCACAACTTGTTGGATCCCTCATAATTTCCATGACGTAAATCAGAAGTTCCTGACATTTCAGCCTCGGTCCTCCTACATGAAGAAACAACATGAGACTGCTTAATTTACCCAAATTAACCCAAAGAAATCTGTAATTCTTTGTAAGTGTTATCTAATAAAAAAAGAAAAAACCCAACCCAAAACCTACAGTTCTGAAACAGTTCTGTCAGAAAATATCTTCTTAAACTAATTGTTTCTAAGAAAGAAACTATTTATGAGAGGATATATCAGTTATAGACAACTTGAATAACTAGAAAAAGGCACTGTGAGCATCCACAAGGACAGAGAAGGAGCACAAAGGACTGATTCACATTAAGATATTTAAATAGCAAACATCTGTAAGCGAGCAAGATGAACCCTACACTAGTAACTGGTAAAAATTCAAACCTGAAAGCAAAGTACCAAATTAAAACAGTAACTCTATATGATAATACAAATAACTGACTTTTATTAGCACATCTGATGAAGTATTTGACCAGGCTTCCAACTTCTTGTATCTTTTTCTGTCTCGTAGTTTGGGTTGAAGCAGATGCATTTGGTTTTGTCTGCTGCAGATTTCTAATTTCTTTCTGGAAATATTTCTGCAAGACACTTCAAAAATAAAAGAGATATTAACCAAGGATCTGCTCATTTATGATTGAAGTAAAATAGGTGAATGCTGATTTAGCCTAAAATGCCAGTTCCTGTTCTTCTCACAACTCGAATTATCAAAGACCAGAACCAACTGATATATATTACAGTCCAAGCATGATGGAAACAGTCTATAAAAGGACCTGTAAGTTTTGAAGATAATCTAGAAGCAACTGAAATAGGAACCAAACTTTCATTTAAACTTTGCACAATGATAAACACACAACTTAAAATTAGCAAAAAAAAGCGATGCTGTCTTTTTATTTAGGCTGCAACACTCTACAGCAAAATAATAAAAAATACTTATCACTGCTTTTATTCAGGAAAACCTTCAAGTCCTATTTCTCCATGACTTAAAGTTAATATATGGATTGTATTTCAGATCTATGAACAGATTAGACTTTTCACTGGCTTTGTCACTGGCAATTGCTACATATTTTCTGGCCTACCATTTGGTACTCAGTTTAGAGTTTCTATTTTTGCATTCCTCTTGTGTATTTCTAATGTATTATTGACTGTCTCAAAAGCAACACACAAAATTCGCCAAATACTTCTTACAATATTTTTGGTACACCTATAAAACAAGAACTATTGCAATACTGTCCAATTAAAAAACATAACGGAAAGCTGACCAGACCAGTTTTCATGTTATGAAAACTAATTTTATGAAGACTAATACTTCAGATCAACTTTTAACATGAAATTTAACAGTGGTTGAAGCTGCTGTAAGAAGTTATCACACTCATGCTCAGTCACATCTTATAGTACACCTGATGCGGACCGTATCAAAGATTGGCCTCTACAGACCTCAGCATATCATTTTTTCCTTCACAAGCCACAGTCCTTTTACTGTGTCTTGAAGAATTCAGCAACACAAAAATCTTCAACACAACTATCTGTAATCCGCATAGGAACTAAACCTTGACAATGAGATGCAAAGGATAATTTTCAATAAAAGAAAGTAACTATTATTTTTGCAAGGAAAAGCAACCACCAATTAATGATTACTTTCCTAGAAGTCTTCTTTAAGTGTTGCATTTTTGGCTACTTTAAATTTACTTCCTTTAGGGACTAACATAAGGAATTTCTTGTTTACCAGCTGTCAAGAAGTTTAAATCAATATGCAGAAACATAAGCATTAAAATAGGCCTGACAAACAAAAGAATGATGTTCTATTTAAGAAAATTGCAACCATTCACAAAGAAAAAATAAAGGAACTACCTAAATACAGCATCCCAGTTGAGTTGCTTTCCTTGCTTAAAATCAGAATTCCGGTCCAGCTGGCGAACTGTTTCAGAGTCACAGAGAAGTCTCTTGAAATTTTCAACTTCCTTCTGAAAACGTATTTCGAGAAAAAGAAATTTAATGATTCCCTTCATTGCTAATTGGGGAACACACTCCAAAAAGAAAACTTGTTACCCTTCGCTCCACAGCTTTCTCATTTTCAAGGCGACGACAACAAACAAGCAGATCATGTAATGCAAGACTCATAGTTCAGTTTAAAGAATAGTCATTTGTATCTGCAAACAGAAGAAATATATAAAACAGTAATTATTTAAAATACAACCAAGTAAAAAAATTGAGAATGCAAAATATTGAAACTCCAGTATGGCACACAATCACGGTGTTATATATTTCACTGAAAAGCTCATTTGTGTCTGGATTAGTGGTCCTCTTGGTCACAAGACTGAAGCAGTTTCACATCAAGAATATAATCTACTCCCACAGACAACAGTCAAAGAGCAACTGCAAAGACCCCCTTCACATCACTCTGACTTCCTTCTTTTTTATGCCTGCTAACAGAGTTGGGCAGATGATAGGGAATGACATTATAATAAGATTAAAATAACACAAAGCTGAATACATTCCAGCAAGAAGCACTAACTTTTGGTAGCCATCTTAACATGATGCTGTCTGGAGAAGGTAGCACTTGAAAAATGCTCTTCCTCTCTTCACATCCTACATTTTCATAGGTGTGCAGTACCATTTGGCAAATCCCTCTGGACTAAACACATCAAAAGATGACCAAATACCAGTCATAAGAGAAAACAACTTTTTCTTTTTGTGACCACTTAAAACTATGCCTCTTCTCCTTCAACAGAGGTTGGAACCAGCTAGACCTCGCATTTCTTATTTACATAAAGCTATGTTGCTGCAGATGACAACCATGACATTGTATACGACTTCCATGCTTCTTCTTTAATGCCTTTAGAGCAAGGGAAAGAGGAACCCTTGCAAGACGGATCACACAAGCTGAAGTAACTCTATGCATATGCCGCTGCTGAAGCTGTAATATGCAACTGAGAATGGGCATTCATGACTCACAGCACAGCATCTCAAGCACTTATGTGAGAATTCAGAGAGATTTAGACAAATAAAACTTTAAAAATCTACTCTCTTAGACTGTATTTATTTCTTTCAGCTTCAAACAAGATCAGGCTGCGACTAAGTATGATCAGAGGTTTGACAACTGACAGATGTGTATGAGAAAGAAAACATTTCAAGCGTGAAGGCTGGCTGTATTGTACAAGAAATCTAATTTAAATTAAGTGTTCCTTTACTAACTTCATAGAATCACAGAACGTCCTGAGTTGGAAGGGCCCCACAAGGACCATCACCATGTCCAGCTCCTGGCTCTGCACAGGACAGCCCCAAGAATCACACCATGTGCCTGAGAGAGTTGTTCCAAGTGCTTCTTGAGCTCTGTCAGGCTTGGTGCTGTAACCACTACCCTGGGGAGCCTGTTCCAGTGCCCAACCATCCCCTGTACCTCCGGTGGTTCGGTACTGGAACAAAATAAACCCCACCAAACCTCCTGCTTTTGTGGGAAATGAAAGGAAGAATTAACTTTTAAACACTAATGGCTTCTGAAATGCGGATGAGCTGCAAAATAAACCTCAGCAAACTTCCGGCTTATGCTGGAAACGAAACAGAAAGTAAAAATTGACTTTTTAAAGACTAATGGCTTCTGAAATGTGGACGAGCTGCAAAATGCCTGAACGAGAACTGTCGGAACATGGGTCAATTGTGGGAACATGGGTCAACTGTAGGATGCCTGGGCATCCAAGTTCTCTCCTCCGTGCTTCGCGGTATTTCAATAGCCACCAATAACAACAACAGTCGAAAATTCCCGAGACTGACTCCACCTATTTCTCCTACTACTTGCACGGTTTTCCAACCCCTGCGTGACGACCACGTCTGCCCTCCATATAAATGTCACAGGGCAAGGAAGGCACACATAAAACAAATAGAGCAAAGCAGGGAGAGAGGTGCTGGCTGAGCACAGGGGCGCCAGGACACTGCCACCACTCTCCGGCAGCTCCGGCTCCGCCACACTGGCGGGGCCGCCCCCGCCGCATGAGCCGCCCCTCAGCGCCCGCCGCCGGGGCCGCCGCCGCCGCCGCCCCGCCCGACCCTGGGCCCCTCACCTTGGCCGGGTCTGGCAGCCGCCGCTCCCGGGGCACGGCACACGTGCGGCGGCTGCGGGCGGACCTGGAAGCGGATGAGCGGCGGCAGCGGCGGGTTCCGGCGGAAGGGGCCGGGCACGGCGCTGGCTGGCGGAGTTTCCGCGCCTTCGGCTGGGTGGCGGGGCGGTCCCAGCGCTCCGGGAGCTACGGCCGCCCGCGCCCCGCGCCGCCGCGGGCCATGCTGCTGCCGTCCGACGTGGCCCGGCTGGTGCTGGGTGAGTGAGCCGGGCAGGGCGGGAGGGCGAGGCGCGGAGCCCCGGCCGCGCCGGGAGGGCTCTGCCGGGCATTGTCAGCCGCCCGCGGCGCGGCGGGAGACCGAGGCGGCTTCGCCCTTGACCCTCGCTCGCGTCGCTTGGTTCTTCCCCGCCCAGGCTGGGATCGTCGCTGCCGGGGCGTATCCTGGGCCCCGCGGTCCCCGGGCTGGCCCCTGACGCCCTCCGGGCCGGGCTCTGTCGGAGAGCGAACGCAGGTCGGTCCTGAGGGGCTCGGGGGAGCCCGCCAGGCCGTGCCTGGAGCTCGGGGTTCTTCGCCAGTCCAAGCAAACGTGCTGGTCCCCGGTGCCCACCTGCAGACTGAGCTGGTGGGCGGCGTTTCAGCAGTGCCTGATTACAGGAGGAATTCAAGGGTGACGCGAAATACCAGGGGAGTAGGGTGAGTTACGAGTCAGATAGTTTTTCTTTCCCGCCCTGTTTCGCTCACCTGGTGAGGCTGCACTGAGAATTCGGGCGTGATCAGAGCCTGTGGAAGGTACAGGGTAAGAGCGCTCAGGACATTGGCGGTAGTGAATTTTGAAAATGACTCTACGCTTTGGAGTATTTGTATGCTGCCAAAGGTAAAATCAAATGGATAGTAACCAGAAATGTGACCCACTGCTGCGACCCGCCCAGAAAAGGGAGGGTTACCCATCTTCTTATTAATAAATCCCTTGGGGTGTATTGGAGTGAAAACGGCCATGAATAATCGGTGTTTGAAAACATATATATGTAGGGTTTATTTTAGAACACTTTTGTTTTAAAGGTAGACAGGTGTGTTGCCATTTTGGGTGTTATCATCTGTATCTATCATCTATGGAGATATGGCATAAAGATAACCTTTAAGGAAAATGCATACGGAAAGGACAGGATAAGGGTGGAAAAATGTATATCGTCACCACCCACGGTGTCCAGCAATGAAACTTGGTAGTTGCAGCTTCCACGTCTGTCAATTGCAGTGGTGGTCTTGTTCCTTGGGGGAGGGAAGCCCACGCACTCAGAGAAGTTAGGAGTTGTTACATACACACTTCCAGCTCAGGTGGGAACGCCTTGTACCTCCCCAGGGCGGGGAGTTTTACCGTGGATAGTGTCGCGGGACAGCCCAGGCTAGACACGCAGAGTTCATGTGAAGGGCATGGCAAAAACGGCTCTTCCCGCCTTTCAGGACTCGACCCCTCAAGCAGCACCGGCGGGGGGGATGGGCCTCTTCCCAGCCTGCAAAAGTCCCCTGACGATCCTAGAATGTGTAAATCATTAACCGTTTCAGTCTCTGGCACCCACATATTTCAGTCCCCACACATCAGTACCTGATGAGACAGGTTACCAAGATTTCCTGGCAGCTCGCCAGCTTGGGTTTCAGTTTTCAGTTGTCCACAGTTTTTTTGAATCCAAAGCTATTAAGGCAGAATCTTTCCTTCGTTGTTCTTCCAGCACAATTTGTTTTTAATAACTACCTGAAATATTTCTTGCTACTGTCTTGAGAAATAAGACTAGTAAGAAATTCAATATTTTTATTATTGTGAAGTAATGGAAGATTCTTAGAAATTCCGTGCATTGTAAAAGAAGGTTAGAAATCATTCAGTGGAGATCTCTCATTGTACTTTTCCATAACAAATTGGTTAAGTTGCAAATTTATGTGTAGAATGCTTATGCTGTGTGCTTACCAGAGAGGTGCAGATCTCGTACACAATCTTGGCAACACCATGTGTACGTAGGATGATCCATCAGACTGTCTTGTCTATTGTGTCTGGCATGGAGCATGCATTATGTCTAGAAAACCTCTGAGCAACCTAAGGTTGTAGAACAGGATATTCCGTGTAACTACTTCTGTTTTCCAATAGGGATTCCTCTTCTGTGAGGCATCTCTGAATTTGGGCGGATAAATAGGCTTCCCAGTGCAGCTCTTCTTCCATCTTTTCTTTTTTCCCCTGCCCCGTCTGGACACCCCATCTAGGTGTTTTAAAGATTGATGAATGTTGGTTTAAGAAACAAAACTAAAATTATAAGCTGGGCTCATGCACAGAAAAATGCATAAAAACATTTATCTTTTCCTAATTGAGAGAGTGAATGCATTCTATGAGCTAGACATTTCTTAAGGCAGAAAAAAATAATTATTTCTGTATGTGCAGAATATAGTGTATGTTTTGTGCCTTTATTTGGTTTTGGTGATGTCAGGGATTGTGTACTCATATGTCATTATACAGTGTGTGTACAAGCAGCTCAGGTCAGTTGCACAGGAGATCTTAATTCAGGCATTTTTAAACATAGGAATGCTTTATTTAGCAGGAAATTGATGTATGTGCAAAACGTGCCTGCACTCAAGCATTTGGTCATCCTGTGTGATGCTGTAGTAGTAGGTTCAAGAAAGAAAAACTGCAACTTTCAGATGAGTTTGACTGTAAGAGCAGCTGTACCAGCACAGATCAGAGCTTCACCTAGCCTAATACGCCATCTTCCAGCCTGGCCAGACTAGGATATAATCGTGTTTCCCCCAAAATACACTTTCAGCTCCAGCAATCTGTGGCTCGAGATTTTCCTAGAAAAATACGTTTGAAAAACAAAATAGGACAGGTACCACTTATGTTTTCTGTCTGATAGGCCAGCTCATACATTGTAATTAAACTCACGGTGGTTATTCCCAAACTGTGTTTAACTTTGAAGTTTGCCTGCTTGTTGAAGACATGAACAAGGGCTTGTGTGTCTGAAATACAACCTGTTTTCTTTAGCTATACTCAGATCTGCAGGAAGGTATTTGTCTTCATGCAAACTTAGAGGCCACTTACAGGCATTCCTGAACTGTGGTGGACTATTTTGGGGGTCCGTAGAAATAGATGTGCTGATGTGTATATACCTTACGTTTTGTAACTAGGCACGTGTTTTACCGTTTCTTTAAAGCATTGCATGTTCTGTTCTGCTACGAGCAAAAGAGAACCATTTTCTTCTGTGGTTCTTTGTTCTAGACTCCTTCATTCAGATTGGTGTGTTTCTATCTTTTAATGTTTAAGGTGTTTGAAGATTAAAGCAGGGTTAAAAAGTGTGATTAAATCAGAACATATTTGATGAGGAATGGAATTTTGGAAAAGTAAACTTTTTTAGTATATTTCCTGCTAGGGTAACTACTGAGTCTTAGGGTGTGTAGAGGGCATAAGTTGCAGCTAGTACATCTATCCTAAATTAAAATTACTGTAAGTAGGGGGGAAAAACCCTTTTCTGTTATTCATTTTTGTACAATGCCAATTTTTTTAAAAATCCTTATACTCTGTTGTAGCACCTGCACAGGTTTTACCTATTTTGAAACAGTGGGATGGGCGGACAATTACTACTATATAGCAATACACTTTATTAACAAAATACTGTATATTTCCATTTACGTATCAAGTTGGGTGGCTCAGCTCCTGTGAGAGTTAGTTCAGGAGTTAGTTGGCTCAGCCTTCTGAGCCAAGGACGTCTATTTTTTGTCCATACTAGAGATCAATCAAAACTTATTCATACTGCCTCACTTTCAGTCTTTAATAGTTTGTAAATACAGTGTAATTCCAATATGTATTTTTTGTCTTTCTGGTTTTAACTGTTTAAGAAACATGTTTTAAGACATATGTTCCATCAAAATAACTTCACTTTCCTTTCCTAACACAGAAATGTTTACCTGATTATTTCAACACTGTGTGCAGCTTTGATACCTATTGAGCAGAAGTAATGAGCAAAATAGCAAAATTTTCTGTCTGATTTCTTGCAGGATACTTACAACAGGAAAATCTTCAAGCTACCTGTCATCAATTTATTTTGGAAAGCTCAGATTTGAAAGAATATGCAGAGCACTGCACAGAAGATGGGTTTATTCCAGCCTGCTTGCTGGTGAGTTTGTATTTGCAAAGCAGAAAGTTGTGTTGTCTTGCATCCATGGAAAAGAATATTGGAGATTTCTCAGTGTGAAAATTAATTCTCAAATGCTGCTTAAAATGTTTGGTTAAAATGCTGCTTTTTTAGGGAGTTTGGTTTTTTGGTTTCATTGTCTTTTGGTTTCATTTGGGTTTTTTCCATCCTGTGATATCAGCAGTTACTTGGTTTTTAGTATTTATTCTTACTAAGAAACATTTAGGTGTGAAATATGCAAATTGGTTTCAGCATATTATGTTCAGCCTGCATTACAGCCTTGAGGTTGATTTTTGGAAGGGTGTGTTGCAAGGGTTTTATTGATTTCTGGGCTGCTCCTGTAATTTACTGGAGATCACTTTCCTATTCTAGACACGGAAGCCAATAATGCTCCATTTCAGGTACATACTAAATATTTAGGTAAGGTACCTCAGATTTATCCAGGTCTACCAGATTGTGTTGACAAAACCTGTGTTCCACTTCCTCTTTGTTCAGTATCATCTGCGTTGTCCGAGGTGAAGGGTGGAACTTGGGGTGTGCATAAACCCAGTGTTTAAACCAAATTCTCACTGCAGCTCAAATGCTTGCAGTAAAGGACTGTGATTGTCGTACCTTGTAGAGTTGCCGCTAGCAAAAAAGACAGGATAGTACAGCAAATGATAGTGGTAACCTTAAAATCTTAATTTTCTTGTTTCACCTAAAATAACAGGATAAGTAAACATGATATGAAAGTTAATTCTATATGACTGGTAAAAAATTTTACTTTAGACAGAGAGTCACTTCACATTTGCATCTTAATGCATGTTATGTTCCAGCATGGTGCATACTCATTACTCTGTTACAGCTGTTCGTCATCTAATTCTTACGGGTTTATTCCATAATAACGAAGATGATTGGAGCTCACACAGCCCTAACTGCTGTACCAGTCTTGGGCATTGAGATTAAACACTTTAGATTTTGTGTACATAATAGCATTTTGTTTCATCGATTGCTCTCTACCTGGTTTGAGACAACTCAGCACCAGCAGCATGAAGTACAGTTCCTTGTGTTGAGGGTTAGCATGGTGTGGTGTTCTAAAGAATTCCTCAAATATAATGTGGTTCAGCAAATGAAGTGTAAGTTATTAGTAAAGAGTTTAAGATCAGTATTTTTTTTTCCAGTCGCTGTGTGGAAAAAACTTGACAACTATTCTTAATGAATATGTAGCCATGAAAACAAAAGGTAAGCCTTCAGAATGAGGTGTTCTTTTATTTTTCTTATTTATTAGTTGTGAACTCCTTAAGGAAGGGGTATACGGCCCCCGTCTAAGCTACAAGTTGAAGGTTGCCTTATTACACAGACAACAACCACTTAGGTCTGCATCTGGTGAACAAAAGTAATTGATTATCTTAGTTTGCATGTGCCAGCATATATTTTCACTTCAAATTTGAGCAGAACTTCTAATGTAATAAAGCAGAAAGATATAAAAATTTGTGCAAAATGTATGGGTTTATGGTTGTAAAATTATACTGTTTATAAATAGGAAGGGGAGGTGCTGGTCTCTCCATGGTGACCAGTGATACAACATGAGGAAATGGAATGAAGCTGCATCAGGGGAAGTTCGGATTGGACATTAGGAAAAGTTTTTTGACTGAGAGGGTGGTCAATCCCTGGAACAGGCTGCGCAGGGAAGTGGTCATGGCACTAAGCCTGTCAGAGTTCAAGGAGTGTCTGGGCAATGCATTTAGTCACATGTATTAGTTTTAAGTAGTCCTGCAAGGAGCGGTAAATGGGACTCAATGATCCTTATGGATCCCTTTCAACCTGAGATATTCTATGATTTTACAAAATAATCAGGAGGAGTCCTATGCTTTGAAATATTTCCTGTGTTGTTTTTAAAACTAAGTAAAATAATTTCATAATTACTTAATATTTTCGATGAAAATTGGAGACAGAATTAGAGCATTTGCTGTTTTTAAAAACAGTTGTTCAGCTTCTGAATGCTGCCAAGTCTTACAAATTTTTGATATGTGTTATGTGATCAGATTTTAGTGGTGCTTGGTTCTTAGACTTGCAGTTTAGAATGTTATAAACATTTCTGAACACTTTTTTCCTTTCACACTAGGTTTGATAGAAATGGGAACTAATATCCAAACATACTTCTGTCAAAATACTTTGTACTTGGCACCTTGAAAAACTTAATGAATTGAACTTCTTGCATACATATTTTCATTTATAATTTTAGTGTTTCATGCTTTGAAAAGACCAAATATTTTTACCTGTTTGAGTAACATCATAAAATAACCATTACTTTTAAAGGCCTATCTGCCAGGTTTCAATTTCCAAAGACACAAAAGTGACTTGAAAATATGAATTACATTTCCAGAAGCAAGTTGGGTTAGGTTACCATGTGTTTGCTGAGTAGTCCACACCATGTGCAAATTCCATTGAGAATTATAATCATTAATGTATTTACCTCAGTTTCATCTAGGTTTCTAAAACTAAGAACTGTGTCTGTATCACTCAAAAGTTCTTAATTTAGGAGTTAGGGCTCTCTAATGAATAGAATATTAAGAAGATGACTAGACATGTAAAGTTAGATGATGTCTAAAACACTCAATAATTATTTCGCCTGTGATTTTACCTTTTTGCTCAACAGGTTGGAGTTTTATGCATCTTAATTTTTTTTTTTTGTGGTTCATTTTAGAAACAACAAATGAAGTTCCTGCAATGATGTCATCTCTGTGGAAAAAATTAGACTATACACTTTCTCAGATCAGGTAATATAGTTTTGAAACCAAGAAAGTAAAATTCCACTTTAGGAGTGAGTCCCCATGTTGATCAACTCACCTTATCATTGTATGAGAATGATTTGGCTCTCTGTTGCTTCTGAGAGATGGTGAAAAAGATGGGTAGATGAGAGTTGACAGCTGAGTAGACATTTCAGGATTTTAAGGTGGGGCTGGGAGATGAGGGCATTAATGTGAGTGTGTGGCCTTCCTGTAGTAAAACAATATACTATGGCTCATTTAGAATCTGATACCTTTGTGATTACTTCATCAAAAATACGACAGTAGGTTTCATATAAAGAATCTGTTACCATTGTCTGAAGGAATAAAAATAGTAATCAGTTGATCGAAGCTTTCTGAAGGAATGTGTGGTTGGGACCGGACTGACGTTAACCATGTGACGGAACTGTCACACTCTGTGAGTCTGTTGTGCTCCACTAATTTATGTCCCCTACTTTATTTTTTAGGACCATGCAGAGTTCAGATTTTAGATTTTCTTCTAATCAAAGGAGTAAGTAACTGACTCAATTCCATGGGATCAAGAGGTTTGATGTTAAAATTATCTGTTTTGACAAAAAATGGGGAACTGTTGCAGCAATCAGTAATGCATCCTTACTCTTAAAATCTAGAATAATTTCTTATGCAGTGTTTCTTTCAGCCTGTCTGTTGTCTTCAGTGTAGTCTATGGGCTACTGTAATGATCAAGAAAGGAAAAAAAGAAAAGCTGAGCTTTTTGCAAGAGGCTTAAATTCTCTCTGTGGCATTTTCTCTGCAGAAAACTTATTAGAAGTTTACATAGTTAAAAGGTTTAAAAACTGCTGCTTCAGTCTTGAAGCTGTTCTCTGTATTTGTGGTTCATAGAGGAATTGAAAATACAACCAGTCCAGTTATGACGCAGTTTGATTTCTTTAGAAGGGGAATATAAAAACATATTACACTGCTGAAGCGCTTTTTATGCACACAAACATATATCTAATCAAAATAAGAAAATATACTTGTTCTGTCTTTCATTGCGGAAGCATGAACTCTGAACAAGGAAAAGTTATTTTACTTAAAAATAAATTTTTCTCCCTGTAGTATTTCTACTGAGTAACCTGTATAGGAAAAGAGAATGTGAGATATACAGAATGATTGTTCTTGAATCTGAGATTCACTGAATTAACTGGTGCTCTGTTGTTTGAATCTATCAGACTTAGTCTGTTAAAAAAATGCAGATTTACACTGGTTTAACTGTTTCAGTTAAGGTCAATTATATGAGTGACACATTATGTAATAAAATCTCATTTTGGTGTGATTTATTCCTGTAAATACTTAAGCAGGGGTACAAGCATGGTTACAGTGCCAGTGTAAATCAACTGTACTTCTTGAATTATTTTGTCTCAGACCTGTAACACATAAGACAAAGGTTGGTGTTGCTTACTATTTGAGTGTCATTGTTTAGTTGTTGAGGCACAAAAACGTTTCTATGGAGCACCCTTAATTAGGTCTTGAAATATCAGCAACCCTTTTAAACTCCTGTATCGTATTTTCATCTTGTCTTTGTTTCCAGTACGTACGAGAAGTGGAATTGTAGAAATGAAAAGACAGAGAATGCTTCAGCAGTCCGCTCCTGCAAACTCAGGATTGCTGTCAGTAGCCCATCAGTCAGGGCCACAGAATTCCTCTCCTGTTATATCTCCTCAAGTAGTTCCTAGGCCAGCAGTAAATCAAAGTGTGCTGCCACAGACAAGACCGAACACACTCTTTGTGAACCAGTCGCAAACGCAAGAAAAGATCAACAGTAAGTTGCACACTTTTATCTGTGAAAAATCTATGGCTATAGATTGAAGTCTTCTAAAACCCAGGGCTAATTGTCTTCCACCAAAAAATTTCAGAAAATTTATGATTTTTTCCCCTAGCTGTCCAGGCTGGTTCAGGGGATTAAAATAAAAGGAGTGCCCAAAAGAGAAATAGTGCTTACATGCTTGCTAAGGCGAATTCAGAGATCAGAAGTGCATTAATGTGGGAGTATTCTGTCCTGTGTTCTCACCCTTACCCAAAACACTTGCTTTGGCAGATAGGGATGATCCACGTCAAGTGGATATTTATTTCAGGATATGTTTAAAATGTATGGTCCTCATTTTCATGGTAGTACCAAATTATTATTTATGAATTCCCAGGAATTGATTGAAACGTAATAAATAATGTTATTTTTCCCTTTATAAAGCAGGAGGTTTCATACACATTCAGGTTCCAACATCACAAGAACGGAAGCTTCATTCAAACTTGCTTTCTCCAGGAAGGCGAAAAAGGTAAACATGAGTGTGGTTTTGGTTTGGTTTGGCTTGTTTTTAAAGATTGTTTAGAAATTATGCAGTGTTCTAACCTCTAGTGTAAATTCTCTTAAATGGTGGGGTGTTTCACATTTAGAAGCCACTGAGGTTGTGATATTCCACAAAGGAAAGGAAATTCAAGGAGCTTAACATTAGACTGATAGGAGGCTACTTGTATAGAGTCAATCTTGACATTATTCCAGTATTAGACATAGGCAAACAGTCTTGGCACTGAGACTTAGTATTCCTTCCAAAGTATCCTTTTCAATTATAAAAATTCTTACTATTGATAAAAATGTGCATTTAATATTGCAAAACTATTGGCTTCAGTAAGTTCTGTCAGCAAAAAAATTCATATTTGCTCTAGAAGTGGTGTGGAAAACTGTTCTTATACTAGTTTTGCATTTTTTATTCTCTAATTCCAATATTCTTTTTTTTTTAAATGGATTGACTGGTCTCTTGGTCCTCCATTTATTGTCTTTGACTAAATCCCAGTCTGTTTTTCCAGACCCTTACCAATTCATACCTTTTCCAAGTCTTTTCTATTCCTGCATGACTTTTTTTGTATGTAAGTGATTTTAGTGCTACTGCTGATTGAGAAAACATCACATTTCCTATTCATCATCTAAATTCTTTCGCAGCCTAACATTTGTTTTCTTCTTTGAGAACAGCTGCTCCTTGAGAGGTCTTTGTTTTCAGTGGTAATGCCCAAATCTTTTTTTTGAGTGCCAGTTAATTAGGACCTGTACCACAACTTAAGGTAACATGCAGTGGAAAGGGGGGAAATACTGGATAGTGGGCATGGAATTCAGTTTGCCATTGTGCTGTTTGCCTACAGTTATTTGTTTGTAACTTCTGTGAAGTCAGACATAATAGATGAATATGATATAATGAAACAGGTAGCAGCTTTTATTGTATTTTCAAGATGTAGTTAATTTTCTGTTGACTAAATCTGTTGTTTGCTAAGAAGCAATAAAAACGCTTGATTTATTGACCAGTGGGTCTATTGTTTGAAATGTTCTCATAAAATACATCATAAATTTCCTGCAATGTTTCAGTGAATCTCAAAAGAGGAAAAGTATTGGAACATCTGGACCTCTTTCAGCAACTAGAGGTTCTCAAGACTCTGACGAAGCAGTAACAGAAAAAGAAAGTGAGCCCCTTGAAGAATTAATTGATGGTAACTTCCCAGTGAGTATATAGTTATGGAAAGTATTTACATTTAAGAAGCAAATTCAAACCGAAGAGAACTAGTCTCTTACATGTTCATGTTGGGTATTATAGAAGTTACCTTTAGAAGATAAACGTGTTGGTTTGTATTTGGAACTAGTTCTTCTGTGTATTAATCTCATAAGGTTGTCATGGCTACGTAGTGTTTTGTTTTTCTTGATTTGTTAGCTTTGCTAAGATAACTTTAGGCTATTGGAATACAGTAATTTTTTAGAGAATAGAAACCAGAAGGCACAACAAGCCTTGCTGTACTTTGGGGGAGTGGAAGTACAGGAATGTTTTGCGCTGATTTTCATAGCAATGTCATTTAGTCGCAGATTGGCTGTCTCTCTGTTATAAAAGTCTTCTCTGTTTGATTTTTTAATTGTTTTTTACCAGTAAGTTGGAAATTCATGCTTCTTTTCTGGTGATGATAAAAATAGAAACCTGACTGCTTTAAAACTCTTTTCCAGCAACTGGTTATTGAAAATGCCAGAGAAAAAATTTTGAGCAACAAATCTCTTCAGGAGAAGCTCGCTGAAAACATTAACAAAATTCTGGGCAGGTAAGAAAAGGAACCTCTAAGCTTTATTGTATTCTTAGTTTAAGAATAATTTGTGAGGTCTGAACTAATGACTGATGTGTTGCAGTGATGGCAGTGTTGCTCAGGCCCCTAAACAGACAGACAGTGGTCCCACAGAACAGGAGACTTCGATTGATGAAATCCTTGGACTTCAGGTGGGTGTAGATTGCCCTGTTTGCATTTTTTTTTAAGATCACGCATGTGAGAACGATCAGTTATGGGAGCTATGCTGAACCTCTGTCTGATACCTTGTTATCTATCTCTGTTTGCCAACACACCTAAGCCCACCCGATGGCTTCACAGCTGCCCCTGCATAGGCATGAGCTCTCCCCTTGTTGTGTGGTGCTGGGCAGGTTCGAGGAGCTGAGCTGGCAGGACACTAGTGTTCTGCAGGAGCTGATTTTGTGCCAGTTCAGCGCTCTGAATTCATTCCCAGTGCCCGTACAAGGCAGCATAAGCACGCAGCAGGGTCAAAAGCCAAGGGAACGGGATTGCTTCTGGCAGTAATTATCTGTTAACATTGCACTCAGACTGGATTTAAGTACACTGTCTCCCATAGTCACCAGCTGCCTGCTTGTCACTGAATCTTTGGTGCCAGTAATTGGCTATCAGCTTCTGACTGGGGATCTAATCAATAGCCTTAGAAAAGAAAAAGGAATTTAAAATATCTTGTGGTCTCCAGAGATGTTTGATTGATCTGATCTCATTTTCTGATTTCCTCTAAGATAAGCATGGATCTAGTATAGCAAGAGGAATTGGTTTTGGAGCCTAAATAATTGTGCTTTTTCTTCAAATTTAATATCTTCTTGCTCTTGGAGGAAATGTACGTTCTCTTTCTGCAGCCTAAACAGTTATAGTGTTCTGCCTTCATCCTCCTGCAAGCCTCAAGCTGGCAATTACAGAATTAAAAAGGACTCTTAATCAGTGATATTACAATCTTCACAGCTCTCATGAGAAGGACAGGAGAGTAGAGGCAGTTGCCCATCTATGAAGTAGAGGTGTCTGGTTTATAAAAGCTGTTCTTCTGTTGCCTGGTGACTTTAGGTCAACTGTTGTCAAAGTACAGAGCTGAAAAGATGTATTTCATTTTTCTGAGCAGAACTAAACCAAAGCAGCTTCTTGGTTTAGTTGGACAAAATAATCAAGCATATCACATGGGACATCCACCCTTACAACCACCATATCAAAGGCTGTATAGTGCTTAGGGGATCTTCAGGAAGTCATCAGGAACCTTGTATTTGAACGCTTGAGTAGGTTATCGAGTCCCCCACTCATTCCTGGGCTGCTACTAAACAAGTCAGCTTGAAACAGGAATCTTAAAGCACTGTCCCATGTAGCTGTGCTTTCCAACTGCCCTCCACAGAAAAGTAGTTGGAAGTAATATTATAGAACATGTAATGGGTAAATAAAATTAAACTTCCTTTTCCTTAGTGTTGGCTTCTAGATACATTCAAACCCAAGAAATTAGGGTTAATTTGGGGATTTTTTTTTTTTTTACCAGTGGTTGGCTCATACAGACTCACAGTATCCATAGCATAAGCTTCCAGCATAGCCTGAGATTTTGTCCTTCTTATTGGTCAGTGCTGGTTGTTATGTGGAGAATACTCCAGTATGCATGTGCAGAGTGTAGTGTCTGACAAGAGACGTTTGGGTTATGGGGAACCTTGTTTCTTAAACTTCAATCACTAATATATTTTAACAGATGTGCAATTTGTGGCAGAAATATTCCCGGCATTAGTCTTTATGAAGTAATAGAACTAAAAACAATCTGAAAAGAAAACTATTCTTGTCTGTTTTTAAGTTATGAAAGTAATTATCTAATAGTTCTGTATATCTTGTCTTTTCTCAGGGTGAAATTCATATGTCAGAAGAGGCTATACAGGACATTCTAGAACAGACAGAATCAGATCCAGCTTTTCAGGCTCTCTTTGACTGGTTTGATTATGGTAGGGTACATCATGCTCAATTGTACTGTTACTGTGAAGCACCATGAATGATGAGTTTTCCGAAGTACTGCTTGACAAAGCAGAGTAATTCAGCAGGCCTCTTTTGCAAGATAAATGGACTGTGTGGCCTCGGTGTCCCTGAATTCAGAATTAAATTGTTTGATATCTTTATACACAGCTATAAAGTACAGCATTTTCCTGTGGCTGAAATTTTGGGTTTGTGTTGGCTCAGTGATTGTTTTTATTGTTGTTATTTTAGACTCTGCTGGTCTAAAGGAGGATAGTTTATATTTGTGCTGTTGTAAAATTTTTCTGCTTGTCTGATCAGGGATATCCTCACATTAACTATAAGGAGATTTTTATGCTATAAATAATTTAGAATATAATAATCATGGTTGTGTGTAAAATGACATATTTAACTGTTTTCCCTGCTTTATTTTGAAAATAGGAAAAAGCAAGGTAAACAAGAACTTACCTGCTGGTATTTCTGGTCGGAGTGGAGTAGAAAATGAAATCCTGGTGGGTGAGGATAGCCTGGCAACATTTGAAAGTTCTTTAGGAACAGAAGAAAGCAGCAGATGTAGGTTTTTTTATTTTTTCTTTGAGATTTCTTCCAGTGTGTTCACTTTTCATTATGAAAATATGTTCAAACAATTTGTACATTTCAGAAGATTTCTTTTTTCACTGGTAATATCCAATCTGACACTTACATTGCATGAACATACATTTACACATAACAGATGCCTGGTTTGTTGGAAAGTTTCAATCTGTTAAATTTAACAGTAGTCCCTTCAGCGTACTTGGTAAGCTCCTAAATGCAACCAGACTATTGGCCAATCTGTTTTCTCATCCAGAACAGAAATACTTTGTAGTATTCATTGTGGAACACATAAAGATAACATTTTACATCTTACCATAATAATCTTTTATCTCTATTCTCTATTATATCGGTTAATTTACACACAAATACCAGTATGTTTAGTCTATCTACACCATTCTTGACAATAGTCCATCAGCAGCAGATATTTAGTGAAAGTATATGAGAAATAGAGCCAAGAGGTCTTTATCATGAAATGGTTTTTGTGCTTTTGGAAATCTGATTTAGTGACCTGAGCTGTTTGCATGTTATGTGTGCACTTTTAATTATTAATGTACAAACTGATTTTCCAGATTATCAAGTGTATGTAACTATATAGATTTTTCACTCAACTTGATAGTAAGGATGAGTAGCATTATTCCCACATAGTTTGATGTTAAACAGTTTTCCATTAAACTGATAAGTTCAAAATGCTGTAAGAGGCTCATCTGTTCTAATATGAAACTAGTTTATTCTCTGTTTTACAGGTGATAATTCTAGAGAACCACTATCCTGTAAAGATTTTCAGTTAGGAGAAGCATCATGTGCCTTGAAGACCAGCATAAATGATGATGATGTGGCTAAGAAAAATACAACCAATGAACAGCTGCATGGCAATTGTAGACCCAGGAAGCAGACTGAAGTACTTACAACAATTACCCCTGAACATATTGGAGATCTTGAAATTGCTTTTGACTCTGTGCCTGGTTTGACTGAACCTGACAAGAGACAGAGTTCTGACAGCAAATGTAATGAACACTGCGCAGACACGTATGTTACAAAAGAGTCCTCTACGTTAGTATCTGAAAGTGAGAGCACCATGGAAATTGAAAAAGGCCCACCAAGTCATAATTCTCAAAGTAGTCCTAGCTTAGAATATGTTCATTCTGGTAGGCCACAGGTTTCTTTGATTTCACTGGCAGAGGATACTACAGCCAGTGAAAACAAAACTCATTCTCCAAGTAAATGTCAGTTATCACCAGATACGTCACTGTCTGAAAAAACACTTTCTGTAAGTCCTTCTGATGGGAGCCCCGGCCACGGTGTACCACTGAGAAAAAACAATTCACCCATTTCTAGCCCATCAGCAGATACAGAAAAAGAACAGACTGTAACAAATGATACAGCTGCCCTACCTGGTGTTGTACAGGAGAACTCTGGTCACCACTCTGGCCATCAGGACCAGGGCACGGAGTCAGACTGTGCTGCAGGGTCTGCAGGGGAGATTTCGGATCTTGACAAAGCAGAGTTGCAGCTGGAAGTTGTTGATACATCTAACAAAACTTATTCAAATGATCAGCATGCACTTGATAAGCCTTGTAAGAAGGATTTTAACCTCCCTTCAGGACTGTCAAGCTCAGAGGGTACACAAGGGGAAATGCAAGAACCTTCCTCTTCTACAAAAGTAGATGCCGATAATTTATATTTCTCTCCTAGTGGTAATGCATGTTCAGAAATTTCTGTAGTATCCACTGAAAACAATCTTACTACCTCTGAAATATGCCCCTCTCCTCTCCCAGAAACTGCATCCTCAACACAGGAGTCAGGTACTGAGACCAAAAGTATAAGCAGCGTATCTTCTAGTAGTCAACCAATGGATGTTGATCCTTCTAATATTATGTCCCTCAAGATCATCATCAGCGATGATCCATTTATTTCATCAGACACAGAGTTAAATAACGCTGTTTCCAGCATCACAGGAGAAAATTTGCCTACTATAATACTGTCATCTCCAGCCAAATCCCCAGCCAAAACTGCAGGCCTGTCCAAATGTCTAACTTCAGAAGATACAGAAAAAAATGTGGATTCAGCTGCCTTGACAGAGCAGAATCTTCTTGTGCTTAGACCTAAAGATCCTGTGGTCACCTCAGTTAACACTCAGAATGAAGACTGCACTGGCTTTTCAGTGGCAGGTTCAACTCACCTTTCTAACGAAGGGAGCCTTATACAGTTGATGCCAGCAACAAGCACAGCTTTTGGGAATTCGAGCAACCTTTATATAGCCACCTGTATGACTGATCCAGCAACCTTGGGCACAGCTGTAACGCCATCAAATGTAGTTGTACTGCCTGGCAATTCTATGCCACTTGCTTCCCAAGCTCCAGCTGTACAACAGTTACAAACTCCTCCTAGATCCAGTAATACGTTTCCAGCAAACCAGACCGTCTCCCCAAACTTCCCACAAGGTAATCTCATTATCAGAAAATTACTGAAAATGTGTTTTTTATATGGTACTTTGGTTTTGGCTAAATAAAATAGGTTTTTGTTTTAATAGGGTTTCTGTTATAAATGGAATGCTACTTGTTATAAGTATCCATACTTAGATTAGATAGCTGGGTGGATGTAGCTTGCCCTTCCCAAATTAATTCCTTGGGTTTGTTTCATTTTTCAAAATCCTTGTCTGCATTAGAAGTACATTTAGGTAAATATGAAAGTATAAAATTGTTTCTTTCCATGATATAAAATCTGATACAAGCATTTTTATTACTACAGCAGTAAAAATTTCAAGTGCTTTTTAGAGTGTTATAACCTACTATAAATCAGCTGTAATCAACACATTTAGATTTCTTTCCAAAGCTAAAAACTTGCTGCAGTTATCCTTGAGTTTCAGTGTGTTGTCATTTTGCTGTGGTCAGAGGGCAGTGCAACAGTATGTGCAAGATCTTAAGAGTGCCAGCCTTTTCTTTCTCTAAGATTTCTTTATGCAATTATTACCTTAATTGTTTTTTCAGATAGAGAGAAATAGTTTTCTTCACTTCTGAAAATTTTCTTCCACTGTTCAATGAATGTGCGGTGATAATTTCCCTGTATTATAATTCTCGTCTGCCTGGCAGCCAAATGAGCTGTTTGACGTCGCTTTTACTGGGTTTTATACATCACTTTGAATTACAGTTTAAGCCTTAAGATAGGTTTATTGTACTTTAAGCCTAATTTTGAACTATTTCTTAAAAAGGAGAACAGACTTTAAAAGTAACGCTGGTAGTTGTCCTGTTTTCTGGTAATGCTGTATAGCAAGGACAGGGAAGCTTTTGTAAAAAGCCAGACCTTTTCTTGCCACAGGTTTGACTATGCATAATTTTAATGAGTCCTGTCTTGAAGCTTTTCTTTTCACTGAAGTACTTTTAGTTTCTGTATGATTTTAACACTTTTATATTTTTATAGGTTCTGCCATTATAATTGCTTCTCCAGTGCAACCAGTTTTGCAAGGAATGGTGGGAATGATACCTCTCTCGGTAGTAGGACAAAATGGAAATACGTTCTCAGCACCTGCCTGCCAGGTAGCACATCAGAAACAAAGGTTTTCAGAATTAAAGCAGAAGTGATAAGAAGTCTTTTGGTGAACTGTAATAGAATATTTTGATCCTTTCAAGGTTCTGCATATGCCTGTGGCTAATCCAGTGTGCAACGGAACTGTCCCAAAACTTCCCATCCCTCCCAAATCACAGAAGATTCCTGGAGCAAGAAACAAGACTAATACAGGTACTCACCGTGCATTCTTGAGAAGGGCAGAAGAAAAGTGGGAGGGTTCTAAAGGCATGTAATTTCTGAGTAATGAAGTTTTATAAATACCAGTGCTTCTCTGTCAGGCAGCTGCTGGGATGGCTTTGAGAAAGGCCTGTACCTGCAGTTAGTGACTGTGTTTTGCCTATGTATTGCTTAGGTGTAGACAGCAAGCTTATTTTCTACACTTAGTTGGAGACCTTTGGTAACCTGCTGATCTGTAAACTTTAAAGTTACAAAAAAATTGCAGAGTTTTGATTATTGCTGGCTTGTCTTTACTGGTTGGTTCTCTGTCAGGTGAAATGACATTGTACTAACTGTGAAATTATTTACTTGGAATACTGTAGTTCATTAATACTTCATCTGTTGTTTCAGGAAAACTGGTTCCAAGTGTAGCTGAGCCCTTGAACCATACAAATTCTCGAACACAAAGGTCAGTAGTGTTAGGTATTGAAACTTGCTTTTTTTTTCCTGCCATGAGTTTCTTCATTCCATATTGGTGGAGAAGAGAGCAGCTTTTTTTAACAGTGGCATAAGCAGTACCCCCTTTCCTCCTGCCTGTCTGCCAGGAGTACTGATACAGATGTCTGCTCGTACTGGTGCAGCCTGTGCTAGGATTTTCCTGTTACTGTTCCTGTGTTAATTTTGTATGGCTTTGTGTTTATTTTTTCCTGTGTCAGCTGTTGAATAAAAATTGGTTGGGTGGAGTCTAAGCTCAGAGAAATTGCCTGACGTTTACTGGGAGATTTAAATGACTAAAACTTTTGTTCTTTTCAGATGAGTGGTAACCCATGGTTTTATAGTTTCATTGCCTTAACCCTTCTCTGACCCAAATCCAGTAGTTTTCTGCATCTGTATTTCAGCTGTGTGGATTAGAACACTGCTTGGTCATTTAAAAAGTGAAAATTCAAAGATGGCAAGGACAACAGCATGCTATCTTTATACTGATAAACATAACTTAATTGCTGATTGGGGTAGGTACTAATTTACTGTTGGGCAAGGGAGAGAAGAAAGCAAGGCTTCAGTAGTGACTTCTTATTGTTAATGGACTTTAGAAACAAAAGGATGTTGGAATGAGCAAAAGAGTGTAGGAGGAGATAAGGAGTTCAGTTAAAATATTAGAGGTGAAACGTTCTTTTATTGTAAAAATAAGACATACCAAAAAAATATCTTCCTATTCAGAACTCAGTTAAAATGTTGAAAAAGTGGAGGAAAACAGGGACAGTAAAGTCAACTTATTAAAAACCCCAACCATATACCAAGGTATACAGCACATATGCATGCAAAAAGCAATTATTTTTAAAAAGCCACAGAAGCAAGATTTTGGATACTATCACTTTGATAATTTAAGTTTCCATTAACTTTAATTGATCTCGAAACATAAGTTTTGCATAGCAAAGAGAGGAAAATGTTCTCTATAAGGAGATGAAGTTTCCCATTTCTACTCTCCACCCTCTGTTTCATCTCGAATTTCATGGAGCTAAAACAAACTGCTACCATCCATACCTTCTTTACCATCCCAAAGGTGCCAAAGATAGCATCCCAAAATTAATTTGACTTTTCCTCTTAGGAGTCATAAAGGCTAATCTGCATGGGGAGAGTCTTACTAGCAGAGATGAGTGATGCAGAAGCTTCTCGTGAAAATGCAGCCTAAGCCAGGCAGAGGGCATAGACACAGCAGTGGCATGAGCTGACAGAGCAGAAGCATTTTTCTTTTTTGACATTGCTACTGCAGTGGTGGCTTTTCCACTTGAATGTGGTTGGCTGTCAGGTGGAGACCAAGCCCCAGGGAGTTTGTATATTGTTGTCCAGATGCCCATTGGAAGTTTTTTGTCTTGCTCTGTATCCCGTCACCCACAGCAAATACATAGGGGAGAGTACAAGGCACGCACACGGTGACATTGCCCAGAATATTCTGGCAACCTCTTAGCAATTTCAGCTCCAAGGACTTCCAGAGCCTTGAGTAATATTCTGGGATGGACTGTACTATCATAAATGCGACCAGCTTCTTTATGAAGTCAACTACCAGCATCTACAAATACCTCAAGGTTAAAAGAGTTTCCAAGCTAAGTTACATGCTTAGTTACGTGCAGTGTCCAGACCTACTTGTTTTGTTTTGAACCCAATACTAGTTTTACTCAATGCCCCCCATTTTTCGACTGAAAGGTGCAGCAAATAGTTTCCTTTTTGAGGGCTGTTTTCACAGAGCTTGGTTGCATTTTGCCTCAGTCCTCTCCTTCTAGACTGAAGAGCCCCAGTCTACGTCATTGTTCCTTGTACAGACTCTGTTTCATACCTTTTTGTCAAGAAAGCCTTCTCTGAGCTCTCTGCGGTTGTCATCCCTTTCTCTTGGTCTTTGCCTGTTGATAAAATACTTACATTTAGAATGGAGAGAGATTTAAATGTGTTTTGAGGGATGGGTGGGGCTTTCCAGCCAGTGAAACGAACTTGCCTAGTAAGAATAAGTGTGTTGATGAAGTGTTTTCATCTCATTCTCAGGACTGGAAACTGGGACAAGCTTACCAGTGTGGAAGCAGGAAGGAAAGTGGAGGAGAACTTACCTGTTGCACCAGTAGAGAGCACAAGCTCAAATTCAAGACAAAGTGAGAGTCACAGGAGAGTGCTTTGCTTTGATAACCTCCTACCCACTCCAGGAGGAAACACCCAAATTCAGACTGCTAAGAGTTCATCCCAAAAAGAAAGAAACGAAAATACTTTATTTGCTGTTGACTCTGCGTCCTCCTCTGCTAAGGCACAGGTGCCAAAGAGAGAGAAGGATAAAACGTTGCCCAGAATTCTGTGTAAGCCAGAAGTTGGTAGCAACAGAAGCACATCTGCAAAGGAGCTGCAGCCCGACCGGAAGGTGGCAACTGCAGGAATGTCACTGGATCCCTTCCACAAGACTACAGCAAACAAAGAGAATGAATTACGAAGGGATACTGATGAAAAGCAGAAGAACCAGGACGCTGCCAAACTCTCAAATGGTCAACAGAGTGTTGGCTTATGGAATGAGAAGACAGTTGCTTCGGTGCAAGAGCTGAACAAAAAGCAGGGGTCGCTGTCCAATGGGAATGGAAATAGCAAATCTTCAGGCCCCGTTTCTTTGTCCTCGAAGGAGCCAAAGCGAGAACCAGCTAAAGTTTCCAACCAAGGCATTTGCCTGTCAAGTCCGTTCAGTAAACAATGTGTGGAAATGTTGCAAGACATTCAGTGGCAAAGCCCAGCTGGTAAAACAGTTGAAAACGGAGAGTTGCCAGTGCCTCGTACGCCGTCTGGAGTTGGGGACAGGCACGCGGATGATACCACAGACAGCGTACGGACACCGACCTGCCGGCGCTTCAACGAGGACAGCACGACCCCCAGAATCATGGTACCCCCTGCCACGCCAGACCTGCCTGCCTGCAGCCCTGCCAGCGAGACAGGCAGTGAGAACAGCGTCAGTATGGCAGCCCACACGCTCATGATCCTGTCACGGGCGGCCATTGCGAGGACTAGCACTGCCACCCCCCTGAAGGACAACACTCACCAGTTTAGGTCTTTAAGGAGCACGGTAAAGAAAAGGAAACTAGAGGACTTGAACGAGGGTGAGAGAAATTCACGTTCTGCAAATAGGAAAGACCTTCAGAGCTCTCCAACACCATCAAAAAAGAAGAAAATAAAGGCAAGTGCAAGCATTTACCTTTTTTAATTTAAAATCTAAATATGTATTAGATATCTATGTATTATTTATAATGGAATGGTTCAGAGATGCTAGTGCAAATCCCTGACAACCTATTTATATTTGTCAGTTTTTCTGACTTTGCCTCTCTGAACTAAGTTTTCTTAAGACTTAATCTTCAGATGCACACAGGTAATTCCTGCTGACTCTCTAAATACATACCTTTGGAAATTACATTATTTCTCCTAAAACAGTAATGAGTTTCTAAATTCTAACTTTCAGACTACATTCTAGAGGATGTAAGGAATTAGGCCAAACTCAAAGTAGGCCTTACTAGAACTCAGGCTGTTCTTACATCCTCATTAATTGCCATGAGCAGTAATGTCTATTTTGTGTGTTCCCAGTCTCTGTAGTGTGGAGCACTGCGCCCTCGCTGTAAGCATTTAAAGGGAAAATTGCAGAAGTGAAGGACACAAAAAGATGATGGATGTAAATAACCAAAAAGGACACACAGTGTAACTTTGTAATTCCCCATGCCTAGTTCCAGCATGTTCCTGAAATACAGTGTCTGGACCTGGCCCCGAGGGGCTGTGCCAGGCTCAGCTGGGGCGGGCTCCCGCTGAAGCTGAGCTCAGCCACTCCTGTCCCCTGACTGTGCCACTGGTAGGAGCACTGCGGTGCCTGAGCTCGGGGTGAGCTTTGTGCAGGCACCTCTGCAAGGGAGATGGAAGGATGAGGAGGAAAGGAACGCTTATGGGCTCATCGGTGCCTCCAGGTTTTCTTAGTGTTTAACACAGCTCTTACTCTCTCCTACAGAAAAAGAAGCTGCCCAATTCTTTTCCAGCAGGAATGGATGTGGACAAGTTCTTGTTGTCTTTGCATTATGATGAATGAACAAAAAGAGGTTGAACTGGGACCGTCTGAAGCTCAGTGGAGCGATGCTGAGGTTTTGCATGGGAATAGAAGTTAACTCTAAAGGGCGAGTTGCACTTTGAGTGCACTGAAGTTTCACTTTATAGCAAAGTTGTGCTGTTTCTGAAGCAGGTTGCTAAGTGTAAATATCATTGAGTTGGTATATGTTTATTTTTGAAAAAGCACTTGCCTAATTATAGAGCCATTTAATTTGCAAAACTGTAAATCTGTGTAAATGAAATGTAAGAAAGGTTGTACATTTCACGTTACACCACGTTATCTGTGTTCTGCTGCTTTCTCTACTTATCCCTATGACCCGCTCAGCGAGTCTGTGAAGAGGTGGTACGTTTGAAGGTGGTTTTTTATCATTCACCATTCAAAGACACGGGCAGCTACCTTGGCCACTTCCCATTGTCTTGTTGAATCTAAAAGGGACTTAAATCTTCAGATCTAACTGGCTTGTACTAACACTCTCTTCTCTCACAACTGTCAAACCCGTGTTGAAGGGCTTTGAATGAGTTAACAAAAATACCGGTATCTGAACATACGGCAAATAAAACCTCAAAAAGCATTTCTCATCTGATGCTTTTCCCAGCCAGTCCTTCAGACAAGAACTTTAATTTGGATAGGCCTCATCTGTTTACAGTATTTGCTGCATAGGATGCAATTTGAATGCAAAAGCTGTTTACAAACAATGTATTTTTGTGTGGGGTTACACCCCAGTATGAATACTTAAACTGGAGCGACAGCAGACATGTGTTCTGTTGCAAAAGTCAATTCTTTTACCTGTCATTTGTATGCTGAGAAGTTTGTTACTATCTCTCTCTTACGTTTTTAGCCAGACACGAAAAAAATTGCATCTGATTTCTCTGTTTAACGTAGAGGTTGTCACTGCTGTTATACAAACTCTCTTCAAGAGGGGTGCAGGAGAAGCTCAGCCTGCATTTTACTAATAACTAGCATGGGTTGCTCCAAAACGGCAGAATTTTCTCTACTGGTATTTCTTCCTTTGTTCTCAAATTGTTGAGGTATTAAAAAATGCAAGTTTTGTTGTAAAAGTTCTGTACAGCAACAGGGCGATGTTTCAGATAGAATACAAGGATTCCTAAGGAACCAATATTATGCAGTAGATGTTTATATTAAACCCATCCAATAACTAAATACTGCATAGCATTTACAGCTTGAATAAATATTTTTGTTTTAATAAAAATTTGTGTGTCTTGCTAATGTTTTTAAGTCCATGAAGCAGCTTTGCAGATATTGTGTAGAAAAATCATGTTGATCAGTCATTTTTGAAGACAAAGACTCGAGAGTATTAAACACTAATTCTAATAAAAATTGTCAGAGGGGCTAGGGCAGGCAAGTAAAAAATTGTCATAAGCATAAAATGCTTAATAGTATTGACAAGTGCTAGGTGATATTTTAAAATAATTTGCTCTTTATCTGAGACCTAATGTAGCTCCTCCACAGGACAGCTACTACCCACTGTAATGTTTCTTCTTCAGTTCAGGTGATCTGGAAATACTCAGGATGTGAATTATCAGTTCACTTTGAAGGAATCTTGAGTTTCAAACTGCTGTCATACAGCAAATAATTTTTAGGAGAACAGGTGGCAGAGCAGGAATGAATGTTAGTTTTCTTAGATTGTAGTGTTTAAAGCCCACTCTTCATTTACTACCCCTACAAGTGCATTCCTTCCCAGAAAAAAACAGGTCCCAGTACAAACCAGTCCAAATATCTGTGGAGAAAAATATTAGGACAATTAATGGGTGGAGATTAGTTCCTGTTAAAAGTACTGTCAGATTTGCATTTGAGCTGGGTTCAAGGTCCACAATAGTAGAAAACCCACCTTTAATTTTTTTTTTCATGAAAATCACTTAGTGATTTTAGAATCACTTAGAGTTAGAAAAATTAAGCAGCAAAACTGTAAGAAAGAGCTATTTCTTGTACCAGCACTCTTTGAGTTACCTAGAGAATTCCTTTTCATGGGCCTTTCAGAAATGAAACCAGTGACAGAGAAGCCACTGTTACATTCTTTATTGTCAGATCTCAAGACATAATTTGACTTTACTTAATTGTACTGTACAAAAACTTGCATTGACAAAGTAATAAAAACGCAGTTATCTGGATCAGTAATCAAGGATGCTATAAGAAATAGCAGTTACAGAATTCATCCACCAATTGATAAATAAGATGTAACAGCTACCACTGATAATTTTGATCAAGAGAGCATTTAAGGCTGTGTTTCTGATGGTACTTGGGCTACAGCTTCTCTATCAGTATTGCAGAAGCACCTCCTCCTCCGTTGCAGATTCCTGCAAGACCATATTGTCCTTGTTTCAATGCATGGGCCATGTGAACAACAATTCTTGCTCCAGACATTCTAAATAAAAATAAAAAAATTAATTAAAAAAAAGTTATAGAGCTTAGTTTAAAGGAAATTCTTAATTTGACTCATGCAGGATAGTGGGCAGAATGTAATACCGAAGAAAAGACCAAACCAACCCTATCACCCACAGGTATATGTGATACAGATTATTCCTTTCTAGCTAAACATTCTTATACATGCACACAGAAAAACTTGATGTAATAAAATTTCTTCTGGAAAAAGAAATGTCAGCCTATATATCATGAAGTATCTCTATATGTAGCAAAGCTCTTTCATATAAGATAACATATCTACCACAACCAAATTGATTGTAATGATTAAATTCAAATACTTTCTTATTTGCTTAAAACTTGGTATAGTTCAGTGTGCTACTTTGTCTATTGTTAAAATCAGACGTAAACTCTGTCAAAATTAACTTTTAAGACAAAAAAAAAAAGGCCATATTCCTGTATCAGAGCCAGCTGATACAGCAGAGGAGATGCCAGCACATCCTGCAGGATTATGCCTTGATTAGAGCTTTTTATGAAAGTGCTTCTATTGTTCTTGATGTACAACATGGTTACTTCACATCTATGCTGGACTGTGCAGTGTGATTGCTCCTGGGGAGGTTTAATGGGATATACTTTAGTTATGAGTAAGTGACAGTGGTTGGGGAACACCACAAGCGATCGAACTCTAACCAGAAGACAGAACTTCAAACACAAGACCCACCATCATCCTCCAGACTGTCCCTGCAGGGTTTCTGCGTCAGGTGCTGGGAGACACCTGGATTCACTGACAAAAATCCTTTTACAAGACCTGGAATTTCACTTTGCTCATGTAAGAAAAATAAAAGTCCCTGGACCATAAAAGGATTTTCCCTGGAAAATAGCTTGGCTATTTTCGTAAGGTTACCTGTAAATTTTGCTGGCTTAACTACTTGATTCATTATTATAGATTATTCTGTCGTGTTAGTAGGGATTTGGTTTAGTACTTCATAAATGCATATAGCTACAGTAACAAGTAAGGTCTTTATAAAAAGTAGGTGATAAGAGCATTTTTCTTGTCATGGTTGGTTTTCAAGATACCTTCAAGTTTAACACCTGGCAGAGGTAACTATGTACTCGATTTTTTTACCCTTCCTACTTGATTAAACTTGAGAAAAAAGGTAAATGTGTTCACAGTTTACCTATAAAACAATGCCCCTGTGCAGAACAAAACCCGGTGCTTATTTTACTTACCCTATTGGATGTCCAAGAGAGACGGCACCTCCATTAATATTTACTTTTTGTGGATCAATGCCCAGCATTTTAATATTGGCCAGCACCACAACACTGAATGCTTCATTAATTTCCCACATTGCAATATCTTCTTTTTTCAGTCCCGTCTCACTTAGAATCTAAAAATATAAAAAAAATAATTACTACTGTGGAAAAAACTAGGAAGCTAACTATAGAAATAATCACGTCTGTTATAAAGAAATAATCAGGTGACTCAGGCTGCCCATAGTCTGATTCAAAATCACACTTTGGAACCTCTTTGTCAGATGGGGAAAAGCAACACTGAAGGACTGAGACACAAACTTGAGTTTTCACAAAAGAAGGAATGGAGAGGAGCCTATGCCAAGGATACATTTCCATCACACAGAGCTCTGCCAAAGTACATTTAAACTGACACAGTATTGCCTCGTGCCACACACTTCTCTTCAGTTCCTCTTAAATGAGTCTATCCTTGAGCTGTGAAGCTTCAAAGGTGTAAACAAGCCCAAAGTTGGTAAAAGTAGTGTTTTCTTTCAAAATAGGTGTAAGAAAATTGGTTAACTCTAAAGATCTGCATTCTAGCATCTGTTCTTTTTAACATTACAATTTCAATCCTAATTACAGGAAGATCCACTGAGGGATGAACCAACAATGCAGTGCTAGGGAAGTTTGTTTGGTTTTTTTTTTCTCTCCAGAAAACGCTGTTTTATTCCTACCTTAGGAACAGCATATGCAGGTGCAATTGGGAAATCAATAGGATCAACAGCAGCATCTGCAAAAGCTGTAAAAAAAAAAACAAAACAACCAACAAAAAGGTGTTTAAAGACCTTCTGCTCTTACCATACGCGATTTTCTTTCATGCAAGCAACAAACCCTGCCAAGATAGAAAAAATCTGAATTCAATGATCCATGAAATAGAAGCATCTAAAAATGTAGTGCCTTAAGTGAGCCAAACAGTAATATTTTCAGATTTTTAGTACTATTACATATAGAAAATTCTATTTATGATCAAAAGCCCGATGGCATAACACTTGAAATTTCAGGGACTGTACGAAGAAGATGCAGCCATAATGTCACATAACCAGCCAAACAGGACTCCCCAGTCTGAGAGCATCCTGTTGGAGTGTTTTCCAGGACTACAGCCAAAGATAAGGAAAATCGTACCCACTATCCGTGCCAAGGGTTTGACTTTCAGTCTCTTGGCCGCCTCTGTAGTCATCAGCACCAAAGCAGCTGCTCCATCATTCAGAGTGCTGGCATTCGCAGCTGTAACTGTTCCTAGAAAAGGTAAAACGTTGTCTGAACAGAGGTGAAAGTGTGATGCAAAACAGCTCACATATATCCTGGTAAGGACTGGTTTTCCCTCTGTTCACTGAACATAAGGTTTCAGCATTGTGGTGATACCTGTTGCACTGAGTTAACCAAGCTGTTTTTTTAAATCAGTTTGATTAAACAAGCACAATCACAGGTATTTGTATCTTTATCCAGGTGCTGGTTTAGATCATGCCCAATAGCAGCTGCACTGCTGGCATTAACACAGAATTCCAGCTCAGGAAGGGCTGTGAACAAGGGACAGCTTTGAGTTAGACAGAAAGGTTTATCACTTACAGATTCAGGGAAGCAACAGGCAACACTGTGAAGGCCCTCCAGCTCCCACTGAAAGAAGAGCTTATATCTGGTGGAGACCAAGCCAAGAGCTACACTGAAACCAAGCTGTTTCAGTCTTTTTAAAGTAAATGTCCAAGACAGAGGTTTTCACTGGTTTAAGGTTCTTGGGCCATCTTTTAACCCAAGCCACTTCATGCTGCTGTGCAGCATACTTCTTTACCTCAGCAGACATTTAAAAAATCAAGGGGCTATGGTTGGGCTCTGAAGCTTTTGTGAACAGTACTCTGTGCTGTAACAAAGTATCCCTGCACTCGGCAGGAAATTAAGCAGTTCATTTAACAACATTTACCGTTTTCTTTTTGGAAAACAGCTTTCAACTTTGGAACTTTACTGAAATCAACACGTTTGTATTCTTCATCTTCTTTCACTTCCACATCTGGCTTTCCTGAAATTCAGATTTGGTTTAGTATTTTGTGTAACACTCCATTCTTAAAATACTTAAAATACGCAGTATTTTGATTAAATGCTGGCTTATTTAAATAACTTATTATTTCAGTAAAAAAGTGTAAATGCATGTAAAACCCACATCAAGAAAGGTGCTTACGAAAACTGAAGAAAAAATTACTCCTTAATCAAATTTATTCACAGTAAATCCATTTATACTTCCTGGTGGCTGAACAAAAGGGACAAAGAACATATCTTTAAGACAAATTACAAAACAGATGCCCTTAAGCCATACTAGCTAAATTCAATAGATAGTCTTCCACTTACACACAGAAGGAAGACGATACGGTGTGTAACATTAAAGAAAAAGTGAAAACCAAAAACCAGGTCCCACATCACTGACCGCTGTTCACCAGAAAGTCTGTGTAACAGAAAATTCTTACCTGATCTAAAATTAATATTCCTGAGATCTGCATGTTTAAACAACAGTTCCCACCCTTCCATAATACCTTTTTTTGAGATAGTGACAGG